GCTGGTTTTACCATGGCTTTATGCCCGCCGCGGCATATTTTATGTTAGGAAGTTGGTAAATCTGTGCCTATTTTGCTGCTTTTGTTGTTGTTGGTCAAAAACATGAAAAAGTAAAAAATTATACATGAAGAAGAAGAAGAAATTTTTACCAAAAGGAAGATCAGGTAAGACGCTGGTTTTATCATGGTTTTATGCCCGCCGCGGCATGTTTTATGTTATGAGGTTGTTAAATTTTAGCCTATTTTGCTGCTTTTGGTGTTGTTGGTTAATAACATGAAAAAGTGAATTTTACAAGAAGAAGAAGAAGAAATGATATAGAGAAGAAGATCAGGTAAGACAATAGTTTTACCATGGCTTTATGCCCGCTGTGGCAAAACATGGTTATTAGGTTGGTAAATTCGTGCCCATTTTGCTGCTTTTGTTGTTGCTGTTGGTTAATACATGAAAAAGTAAATTTATAGAAGAAGGAGGAGAAGAAGAAATGATATCAAGAAGAAGATCAGGTAAGACGCTGGTTTTACCATGGCTTTATGCCCGCTGCGGTATATTTCACGTTATAAGGTTGTTCAATTCAGGCCCATTTTGCTGCTTTTGTTGTTGTTGTTGTTGTTGTTATTAGTTAATTACATGAAAAAGTAAAAAATTATACAAGAAGCTGAAGAAGAAAACGAAGAAATGATATCGAGAAGACGATCAGGTAAGACACTGGTTTTACCATGGGTTTATGCCCGCCGCGGCAAAACTTGCATTATGAAGTTGTTAAATTCATGCCCATTCCTCTGCTTTTGTTGTTGTTGTCTGATAGCATGAAAAAGTAAATTTCACAACTGTTACTGTTGACATGGTTAGCAGACATACCACATGATTAAAATACAATGACAAATGTTTTTTACATGGCTTTATGCCCCCCGTGGCAAATCTTACATTGAGGTTGTTCTATTCGTGCCCATTTCACTGCTTTTGTTGCTGTTGGTAACAACAAGGAAAAGTAAATTATGCAAGCAGAAAGATAAATTTTATCGAGATGAAGACCAGGGGCCTGTTTCAGTAAGGAGGTTCAAACAACTCGGAGTTTAAACTTGAACTCTGAGTTGATTTATCGAGAGATTAAAAACTCTGAGTTTTCGGTTTCAGAACAGCTGATCTGAGTTGGGTCAATCAACTTCGAGTAGACCAACTCAGAGTTAAGCGCGCGCACCGTGACTATAAAAAGGCATTATCAATGGAGCGCAGATATTATGAGTGACTACGGCAACATCTTTAAAAAAGAGATCACCATTTCTTTCTCCAGCTGAACTTGATGTGCTCATGCAAAGTTATAGCAAATATGAGTGTTTATATTTAAAATGAAGCAACCATCAGTGAAACAGAGACAGCGTGGGAAAACAGCTGCTCAAGTTAATGCGTAATTTTTAATTTTAAGTATTTAAACATTTTAAGTATAATAAAATAAGTAATGTAATGTGTGACGTTTATACTTTTTTTCTAAACTTTTTACACTTTTATCAGTTTTAATAAATTTAACAGTGCACTTGTTATGTGTCGGCCTTTTTATTGATCAAGTGATAGAGGTTGATATAACATTAAGAAGGTAAGCAGTAATAAAATAATTTAGACAGAATAATAATCCTATTAATCTAGTAACAGTGCATGTCGAAGGTTAAGTTAATTATTTATGAAAAAAAGGACAAGCCTCGTACGTGACTTTGTTCTGTGTGTGACAAATGTAGGCAGTAGCTGTGTTTCCATCAAAATATAGGCTATTACATAAATTTGTGCAAAACTGGAATAACGCCTAAAAATAAAGCAGCGTTTTTATCCAAAGAGTCGAAGAGAACAGTCGTCACTTCCTGATTAACTTGCGCCAAGTAAAAACAGAATTACTGCGGTAGAAGAAGCTGCATCAATGATTTTTTATTTAATTAATGTACCTGAGCCTCAGAAGACAATTGACACACAATGAACACGTGGGGGCGTTTGAAGCCAGACGCGGAGATCTTGACACGCTCCAGACGCTCGGAGGTAATTAATAATATACACTAATACTGAAACAGTTAAGGCATTTTAGAATGACTGAAACACCATTTAAGATGTTCTACAGTGTGCTCAGTCTGCTGGTTTGTCCTTTCACACACATTTTCATCATCATCTCTAACAAACCATTTTTTTAATGTACATACTGTAATTTGTTAAGTGCACTTCGTAGTTTATGTGCATCTTATCAAATAAAAGTTTAACCTACTCAGTTATGCACATGTTATATTATGCGTATTTTCAAAAGTTATGTGAATCAGGACGTTTCCATCAATCTTTTTTATGCACATCTCCAAAATGAGCTCTAAAATAGGTGTGTGGAAATGTAAGACTAATGCGAGAAATGCGCTTCATCTTTAAAAAGGGGAGGAGACCAACAGAAACTCAGAGTTTAGAGAATAAAACCTGCTCCGGACCAGGTTAGATTCACAGAGTAAGTTACCACGGTAACTGACTCTGAGTTAAAGTTAACTCTCTTTTAGAAACAGGCTTGACTTACCCTGCTTTCTCGAGTTTAACAAACCTGCCATTTTGAAACGGAAAACCCAGAGTTTCTCTCATTTCAGAGATCTCATTTCAAAATCTGTGCCTATTTTGCTGCTTTTGTTGCTGTTGGTTAATAACATGAAAAAGTGAATTATACAAGAAGAAGAAGAAAAGATATCGAGAAGATCAGGTAAGACACTGGTTTTACCATGGCTTTATGCCCGCCGAGGCAAAACTTGCGTTATGAGGTTGTTTAATTTGTGCCAATTTTGTTGCTTTTGTTGTTGTTGGTTAATAAAATGAAAGTACATTTATACAAGAAGAAGAAGAAATGATATCAAGAAGAAGAGCAGGTAAGACACTGGTTTTACCATGGCTTTATGCCCGCCGCGGCATATTTTATGTTAGGAAGTTGGTAAATCTGTGCCTATTTTGCTGCTTTTGTTGTTGTTGGTCAAAAACATGAAAAAGTAAAAAATTATACAAGAAGAAGAAGAAGAAAGTTTTACCAAGAAGAAGATCAGGTAAGACGCTGGTTTTACCATGGCTTTATGCCCGCCGTGGCATGTTTTATGTTATGAGGTTGCTAAATTTGCGCCTATTTTGCTGCTTTTGTTGTTGCTGTTGGTTAATAACATGAAAAAGTAAATTATAGAAGAACAAGAAGAAAAAATTGTATAGAGAAGAAGATCAGGTAAGACTCTGGTTTTACCATGGTTTTATGCCCGCTGCGGTATATTTTACATTGTGAGGTTGTTAAATTCGAGCCCATTTTGCAGCTTTTGTTGTTGTTTGTTAATAACATGAAAAAGTACATTTATAGAAGAAGAAGAAGAAGAAATGTTATCGAGAAGAAGATCAGGTAAGACACTGGCTTTAACATGGCTTTATGCCCGCCGCAGCAAATCTTACTTTATGAGGTTGTTAAATTTGCGCCTATTTCGCTGCTTATGTTTTTGTTATTGTTGTTGTTGTTGTTTAATATCCTAAAAAAAAATGGTTGTATTATTACTGTTGAAGGGGGTTTCAAAACTTTTAATAAAGTAGTCGCCGACTTAAATGGTTAGCGGACCACATGATTGATGATAAATTTCTGACGGTATGATGATAACCTTGATAAAAATATCAGTTTCACGGTATCAATGCATTGTGATTTCTGATTCAAAATAAGGTCTTTTGAAATGTCTGGGTAAAAAAAAAATGCCGCGCCATATTTTACGTTGTGAGGTTGTTAAATTCGTACCTATTTCGCTGCTTTTATTGTTCATGTTGCTGTTGTTGTTGGCTAATAACATGAAGTAAATTAAACAAAAAGAAAAACATTTATTGAGAAGAAGATCAGGTAAGACACTGGATATACCATGTCTTTATGCCCTCCGTGGCAAATCTTACATTAAAGGGTTGTTAAATTTGCAAATATTTTGCTGCTTTTGTTTGTTGTTGTTGGTTAATGCAATGAAAATATAAATTATACAACAGTTACTGTAGACGGTGCTTTCAAATAACATTACATAAAGTAGCCTAGTCACTGACTTCCTTGGTTAGCGTACATACTACATGATTAAAATAAAATCTCAAACATAAGTGACTTTTATATGCTATAAACTTTTATTAAAACAATTAAAGCTAAAAGCAAAAGTCTGAAAGTAATTTCTTCATGCCTTGCAAATCTGTTGCTCGAAAGATCATTTAAAAATATTAAATACACAAATAAAATGGTGTCCGTCCCATTTTAAAACTGAAATTAATTTAAAATTAATTATATATAATTTTATATATATAATATAATTTTAAATTAATTTAAAAACTGAATAAATATACGTTTACAAAAAAAAAATAGACTTGAATCTGCGGATTCCCGACCGTGCAGATTCTGTGTGGGCCTAGTTATAAGGTATGAAGCTTATATAACGTATGAAGCTGCGCTCACACTGGACTTTTCTCCCCATAGACTTCCATTCATACGCACGCGAATCCATCAGACTGGAAACACAAGCTCGTGCGTCAAGTTTTGCAGTTTAATCCATTGCAAAGTTCAAGATTGGTGAACTCTGACCTGCAAAATTGCATCACTTGACTGCAGTGAGGCCAATCGAGGATCAAAACATGACCTCTCCGTACAGAAATTTAACATATGGAGCAATCGCTCACTTTTTTAATGTCTAATCATCTGATTTAATCTTCGCAAGCTCAAACTCTAGTATGATTGTGGCATAAAACTGAGCTGAAATGTAATGACTGCTTTGTTTTTCTTATATGACTGTCCAAGAATTATCCTGTCTACACTGCTGGGACTAAACCTGATTTAAAGCTAAGGTTGAACACGTTAAAAACCTATATATCTGTTATTATGTGCTTAATTTATGATATGATATTCTGAAAAAAGAAGATTGAACAATTACTCTACGGGGAAAGGTGTTTTGGGACAATAAATGGAGTGAATAGAGAAGGTGGAAGTTCATAAAAGTAAAACTAATAAACAAAAATCTCTTATTGTTTTAAGCTAAAATGGTATGTTTGTGTTTAAAAGGGGAATTGTTGGATTTATTTATTATTTATTAGGTTTTTTAAAATCTACACGAGCCTCAGTGTGTTTGTGTGTATGTGTAATCATGTCATGTTGGCTGTCAGTGAAATCAGGTAATCATTATCGAGGGTGTAGTGTGTGTGTTTGTCCTCTGTGTGTCAGTAGTGTTCAGTGTTTGAGCTGTTCCAGGATCAGTTCAGTCTCTGTGACTCTGACTGACTGACGGAGGTTTTTGTACCACTCTTTATCACTGTGTCAACACCCACCCAATATTGCTGATGAAGTGTGCACTCTGACAGTAATAGTGTTCAGCATCTTCAGTCTGGACTCCACTGATGCTCAGAGTGAAATCTGTATCATATCCACTGCCACTGAATCTAGATGCAGTTCCTGACTCACGGATGTCTGTTTTATAAATCAGGAGTTTAGGAGCTTCTCCAGGTTTCTGTAAGTACCAGGACACACAGGGGTTTGGGCTGCAGTTTGAAGGTTCGCTAAGTTTGCAGCTCATCTGCACATTTTCTCCAGGTTTTACAGGTTCCACTGGACTTTGAGTCACTGTGATCTGAGCTGCACATCCTGAGAAACAAATCATTCACACTATTAGTCTACAAAGATCATCATTTATCAGTCCATCTTTAAGCTTGTTCAGATGACACTACAGCTATAATATATTCAGATATAAACTGGTCACCTCGCAGGATGAAGCTGTATGAAAGAGTCCAGATGAAGACGATGATGAAGGTCATGATGATGATGAAGATTGATGTGTGTGTCAGTGATGAAGTGTTCAACTCACAGCACTATAAACACTCACAGCACTCAATATGCAAACACACGTGTGGGCTCTCACTTATTTGCCATAGTTAAATTCCATGACATGCCAATTATATTTGATACCAATTTCAAGTGTTTACACATACTGTACATTATTTTATTATTATTTATTTGTATTTATTTTCTATTTTAGTTCCTAGTTATTGCCTTAATAATAGGAAATATGAGCTAGACATTATGTATGACAGTTGGCAAAGTGAGATATGAGCTATATAGAAGACATATCTTGTAAGTACATACTGCACAGGGCTTGTATGTGGATAGAAAGAGGCAATACAGGAGACCTATATGGCCTGTATATGCACATATACACCTCAATTTTGCCTATATGTGGCATATATACACACACAGTGTGCAGCATATATATATTATCATATATGCTCATATATACTACATATAGGTTTCATATATGTCCTCATATAGGTTGTTTCCATGTGTGTAGAGTTGAACAGTAATGTGTTGTAGTGGTGAACACAGCTGCACTGAGCGTTAATGTCAAATGAAGCTCTTGTGGTTTGATCTGCTCTATTCTGAGCTGCAGAAACTCTGAACACTGTTTGATTGGTTTAACTCTCTGAACTGGAACAGATTCACTTTCACTTCTGCTCATCAACTCATCATCAGACCCTCATCAAGTTTATAACACTTTTACACCGTATAAATGTAATATTAATGAAATAAAACTAAAGATTAATTATGATTAATAATAATTATGATTAATTAGTTAATTAATGATAATCTTAACTGGTGAGTTATGATGAACAATTTAATTAATCATTTTCATAATAATCTACAGTATAATTTGAAAAATAACAGCATGTACTGTAAAAGTATGTTTTAAGTGATTTTAAAATATTGATAGTGGAGATGAGAAATTATGCTGAAACAATTACATGAGGATAAGTAGAAATTATTTTCAGAAATCCTGATAAAGCTCAAGCAAACTTTATATTAAAATCAATATGTGTTGGTTCAAAGCCATTGTGTGTGTTAAGTCTTTGAGCTGCTCCAGGATCAGTTCAGTTTCTGTGACTCTGACTGACGGACGGAGGTTTTTGTAACACTCTTTATCACTGTGTGTACACTGGACCACTGTGTAAACTCTGACAGTAATAATGTCCAGCATCTTCAGTCTGGACTCCACTGATGCTCAGAGTGAAATCTCTGTTAGATCCACTGCCACTGAATCTAGATGCAGTTCCTGACTGGAGACGGTTTGTTAAATGAATCAGGAGTTTAGGAGCTTCTCCAGGTTTCTGTAAGTACCAGGCTAAACGTGGCCCATATGTACTGTCACTGTACACATTTGTGCTGGTTCTGCAGGTGATGGTGACGGGTTTGTCTGGTTCTGCTGTGATTGAGGGACTCTGAGTGACGCTGATCTGTCCTCCACACTCTGAAACACAACAAGAAGAAAATCAGCTGTAAATATATCGACAATCCACTTGAAGAAATGAGTGAACATGAAAGCAGAGCTGGACAAACCTCGAGCAAACGCTGTGAGAGTCCAGATGAAGATGATGATGAAGGTCATGATGATGAAGATTGATGTGTGTGTCAGTGATGAAGTGTTCAACTCGCAGCACTATAAACACTCACAGCACTCCATATGCAAACACACACACACACACACACACACACTGTGGATCTCGCAGATAAGCTCTAGTGTGTGAATCTGAATCTCTGCTGTGAGTGTGTGAGAGTATTCTGATTTAATTGTCTCTGATATTTTCATGGACATCAGTAATCAAATCACCTGCCTTAATCTGAATAAGGCAATAATAATAATAATAATAATAATAATAATAATAATAATATGAAGGTGTTTACATGATTTGCTTTTTAAATGTTCTTTTCGTGATCTCGTTTACATGTTCGAGCACAGATCGATTAATGTTATTGCGTCACCACGATATCCAACGTTTCCTCCTGAGTTTCATGTAGTTTTGGGTGTTTCATTTTTAATTTGTCGACTGAGTTCTTCTTGTGCTCTCATGAGTTTTCCCCAGGTTCTCCTGTTTCCCCCCCACAGTCCAAAAACACGTAACCTACAGTTAGTAAATCGAACATATCAAATACCACAGCAAGCTCTGAGCAAGTGTACATCTCTCCTTAGCCAATCTGACTTGACTTTGAGGCTTTCTGTCCACACAAACAGCTGTTTTACAGCAAAAGTGTGTTTTGAACAGGTTTTGCTCTCCATCTGCTGCTTTCAGATCACACACTCAATATTCTCCCGCTCTGACTGCTGGACGCCATCATGCATTCACAATGGTATGAGCCGTTATGGGGGTCAAATCTAGATTTAGATCATCTATTACTTCAGTTATTCATATTATTATTATTGGGGGATCAAGCTTAATGAAGGGGGTCAAACCCCCCTGTAATCCCCCTGAGTGTGTCCTTCATTCAGAGTCCTTCACTGAAGCTTCAGCTGCTTCTGCTGGTTGTAATAGTGGAGAAGAGCTGCATTGAGCAGGAAATGAAGTCAAATGAAGCTCTTGGGGTTTGATCTGCTCACTGGAGACGGAGCTGCTCTGATCTGAGACCAGCAGAATCACTGAAGCTCACAATGCAAAGCAGATTTACACAGCAAACTCACACTTTCACTTCTGCTTCTGCCAGATCAGTGATGAGGAACACATTCAGCATCAGCTTGAGATGAAGGAGCTGCTTAAAAAGAGCTCAAATGATTTTCAGATGGAGTTCAGTGTTCAAAACCAACTAATATACGGCATCATTATTGATCAATCTGATATCAGTTTCCTCAGAGAGAAGCGCTGATCACAGTCTAGTAGAGCTGATCTGACTCACAACTCAATGTGTTCATCTGTGTGTGTGTATGTGTGTGTGTGTGTGTGGTGTGTGTGTTTGTCCTCTGTGTGTCAGTAGTGTTCAGTGTTTGAGCTGCTCCAGGATCAGTTCAGTCTCTGTGACTCTGACTGACTGACGGAGGTTTTTGTACCACTCTTTATCACTGTGTCAACACATCTTTACTGTTGATCCAGTGGTAAGTCTGACAGTAATAATGTCCAGCATCTTCAGTCTGGACTCCACTGATGCTCAGAGTGAAATCAACATTAGATCCACTGCCACTGAATCTAGATGCAGTTCCTGAATAACGGCTGCTTGTATAGTAAATCAAGAGTTTAGGAGCTTCTCCGGGTTTCTGTAAGTACCAGGACACACATGAGTCTGGGCTGCAGGGTGCAGGTTGACTGAGTTTGCAGTTCATCTGCACATTTTCTCCAGGTTTAACAGGTTCCACTGGACTTTGAGTCACTGTGATCTGAGCTGCACATCCTGAGAAACAAATCATTCACACTATTAGTCTACAAAGATCATCATTTATCAGTCCATCTTTAAGCTTGTTCAGATGACTCTACAGCTATAATATATTCAGATATAAACTGGTCACCTCGCAGGATGAAGCTGAATGAAAGAGTCCAGATGAAGATGATGATGAAGGTCATGATGATGAAGATTGATGTGTGTGTCAGTGATGAAGTGTTCAACTCACAGCACTATAAACACTCACAGCACTCAATATGCAAACACATACACACACACACACACACACACACACACACACACACACACACACACACACACACACACGATCATCTACATCAGGACAGCAGATTTGTTGGTTGTGGTTTTGTGCTGCAGCTTTTCTAATAAGCCGCTTCTGAACTGTTGTAATATCTCTGAGCTCGGCTACATCAGTGTAATGGAGTGATTCTATTCAGAGAGATATTCAGAGATATGTTTAGGGATATATTCAGTGTGTCGATGGTTGTGATGTTTGTAATATTTGAGGGCTGTAAATGTGGTTTGTTCTGCTCTATTCTGAGCTGCAGAAACTCTGAACACTGTTTGATTGGTTTAACTATTAGATCCAATTTATCCATGATTTATATTTATATTTAAATTGCTGATAAACCTTCAATAAAACTGATATTACAGTTATATTAAGTTATTCTGCACTGTTGAGTCTGTAAACTTGTTTTTGTTGAGTGCTTTGACTTTTGCTCTCTGTGATGATGAAGAGTGACAGATTCATCTGGATGATTTTATTTCTGATGCTTGAGTGACTGTAGTTTCACATCCTCCTGTGAGCTGCTCCAGGATCAGTTCAGTCTCTGTGACTCTGACTGACTGACGGAGGTTTTTGTACCACTCTTTATCACTGTGTCAACACATTATTACTGTTGATGTAGTGGTAACTCTGACAGTAATATTGTCCAGCATCTTCAGTCTGGACTCCACTGATGCTCAGAGTGAAATCTCTGTTAGATCCACTGCCACTGAATCTAGATGCAGTTCCTGACTGAAGCTTTTTCACATAACGAATCAGGAGTTTAGGAGCTTCTCCAGGTTTCTGCAAATACCAGAATAAGTAGTCATCTCCATCACTATCCCTGTACACATTTGTGCTGGTTCTGCAGGTGATGGTGACGGGTTTGCCTGGTTCTGCTGTGATTGAGGGACTCTGAGTGACGCTGATCTGTCCTCCACACTCTGAAACACAAGAAGAAAGTCAGCATTAGTCCTGAATGTCTGAGCTGTGAGATGCAGTGAAAGTGAGTCTGACCGTGGAGGATCAGCAGCAGAGAGCAGATGATCAGAGCGAGCGTCTTCATCTTCACTGAAGCTCAGAGAACTGAAGGACAGAGATGCTGATTCACAGTCAGACTGATATTGAGCTCCAGTGTCAGGGGCAGGACACACATTCAAAACCTCCAGCTCACACTGAACACAGATCAGCAAGATCAGCATTAACAAAACCCTAATATTCAAATATAAACATTTTTAAATGAGCCTGTGCTCAAAGCAAGAGTGTAGATTTACTCTCCACCTGCACACAAAAACAAAGAAGAAGTGATGAGCTGAAATGATGATCATTCTCATGTGCTGTTCTGTTCATGCGCTTCATTTCAGGCTTTTGAAAACATTGTAAATAAGTAAATCTAATACACTTAATACTAAAAACAACATGAAATCAAGCAGGTCTCATGCTGCAATATTTACACAATTTCAGTTTGAGGAGGAATTAATCTTCTGGAAAGGGGCAGACATGTGACGCAACAACTATTTTATCTTGATTATTGTTTTTTAATAATTGTTTTGGAGGCCAAAATCAGAAATAAATGTTGATTATTTACAGTCATGCCTACTGTTATGGTGGACTAGCAGCAAACTTGACTTGAAGTGACTTACACTTGTCTTTAATATGTCGCTTGTCTTACATTATGTCCTCGTCTCAGTTGAGTCTAATACAGTAAATCCTGACTGGATAATTTCCTTTCTAGTTTTGTGCTGCAAACATCTAAACGAACCGTAGCAGCCGCTCACTAGACAGCAGAGAAAGGCACAGCCAATCGCCATGTCCATATGTGTTTGAGGGAGATGGAGAACAGGATTGAACCCTTTCTGTACATTTACATTAATGAGAGTTGACAGCATTATTTTATTTCGGACGTGACTAAATTATTGATGGGGTCATTTCAGTAATGGGTGGATATTGGTCTGGACACGTCTCCTCTCTCCCCGCTAATTCTACAGCCTTGTCCTGAAGAGTCTCCTTTGATTTCAGGAGTGTGTAGATGTTCATCAGGTGGTTTCAGAGTTTGGGTTTGGACGTCAGACACACATCATTTATACACATTTTCCCTTGTTGATCAGCAAGTGAGGGTTCATTTTAATAAGGAGAATTAAAATAAGCATTAAATGAGGGAGATTCATGTGCTGTGTGTGTGTGTGTGTGTGTGTGTGTGTGTGTGTGTAAAGATGTGTGTGTTGTGAGCCTCAGTTCAGTCAGTGAAGCGTTCAGAGGTTTTTGTTCAGCCGCTCTATTAGTTTGTATCACTGTGGTACACTTTCGGCGGCGGCACCAAACTGGATGTTGGCAGTAAGTAAATAAACATATTCTTAATAATACAACAGAGGATTGATCAATTATTTCTAGTCATGTATAGACAGAAAGCTCTTCTCCAGTTGATCATGTTCTGTAATATTGTGTTCTGTGCAGTGAGTAAACAGTGAGTGTTTGTCAGTCGACACCATACAGAGGATTTTCTCTGTTGCAGGATCTTTTGTTTTCAGACTGAATTAAATAATTTCTTGCTTTATAAGTTTGTGATTTAGAAATAAATGGCAGCAATTACATTAAACGACTCATTAAAGGCTGCTATTTTAACAGCACTGCAGAATATAAGATGAACTTTTAGCAAAACCTTTTTACATTTAAGTTTTGGTGTTGATTTAGGAAAATGACGAGCTTAAATCTTTATACTTTTGATCACTTTAGTTTGAAGAACTTCACTGTTTTTAAACTGTATCCAACATTTCTTCATGATCATCAAGATATAAATGAGAGTGTGTAAGTGTGTATAATCGTGTGTGACAGATGCTTTTCAGCAGAGCGAGTTACAGTGAAGATGATCCTGAAACTGACACAGAATCATGATCGTCTCTTCAGTGTAACTCTCAGTGCTTTGCTGATCACAGACTCTGCATGAGTTGTGTTTCTGACAGTCAGATTCAGCTTTTAGAGTTAAATCAGACCTCAAATCCTCACTGATCTCCGTCTTTACTCAGTCAGCAAATGTGCTTTGAGAGTTTTTGGTTGAGTTGATCTGGATATTGCGAACGCTGAGAGTTTTAAAGATGTTAAATTCACACGTGTGTTACTGAAAGTCATTCTGGATTGAGGATTTGTGCTTATTTAAAACCAAATAGTTTATTTCAAGTTTATTTCTTCATGAATCAGCAGATTTATTCTGAACATGTTCTCTTCTCACAGTAATTATGAATATGATCGTGTAAATGGAGGAAAACTTTAATGAGTGACGGCTGAGTGTTTAGAAGATGCTGAATTTACACACAATTGAGTCTCTGAATGACTGTTTAGACTGAACGTGACGCTTTACTGAGTTCTGTTCAGTGTTTTAACCATAATAATATTCATTTTTAATTTAATATATATTAATATACAGAGTCAACTTTATTCTGAACCTGTTATTATCTTCATATGGGAATCATTGTTCATTGAGTAATGCTTGTTCTCGAGTGTGTGTGTGTGTGTGTGTGTCTCCTGGTCACGGCTGTGTTTGTCTGCTCTTCTCTCCTCAGCCGTCTCTCCTCCTCAAGTGAGCGTCCTGTCGCCCTCCAGTGCAGAGATCTCCTCCAAGCGGGCGGCTACACTGCTGTGTGTGGCCAACAAGGGCTTCCCGTCAGACTGGAGGCTGGTCTGGAAGGTGTCGGGCAGCAGCGGGGGTCAGGAGAGCAGCAGTGCTGGGCTCCTGGAGAAGGACGGTCTGTACAGCTGGAGCAGCAGCCTGACTCTCTCTGAGCAGCAGTGGATGGAGAGCGTCTCAGTGAGCTGTGAGGCCACACGGAGCGGCCAGCCTGCGCACACTGCAGAATACACTGTGACGAGACAGCAGTGTTCAGAGTAGACCTGCAGCACACACACACACCACATCTGTGTGTCTTTACTCACATTCACTGCACTTTCAGTCTCTCAGTGTGCTCTGCTCTGCTTTCTGTCTTTCACACCAGACTAAATGTGTGGAGTTTCTTATTCTGTCATCATTTGATTGTAATTCAGTCAATAAATAAAGCTGTAAGTGTCTGTCTTTGAGTCTTCTGTCGTCTTTATTTCAGGACAGTGGCAGTGTGTGTTTCTGTGTCAGTTTAGTTTCTGCTTCATGTTTGATCAATAATCTTCAGTCAGTGGAGCATGAAAACAGCTGCAGATTCAGGAGGAACAGAAACATGCAGATCACTCATCAACATCACTCACACACTGATAGAGGAGCAGAACATGATGGAGAGAGATTTGGGTTATTTAGTCGATGGAAAACGTAACAAATGCTGTTTTCAGTTCATTTAAATGGAAATTATTACTTTGTGAATTTTTCACAGTTAAAAATAATAGTTAAATGCAGTACAGCTTCCAGTGCTGATATTGGCACTAAAATGCTGCTTACATGTAGGTCTTCACGTGATTATACTGTATACATATTAAGATTTTATTTTTAACACTGACACTTCTGTTTTTTTCCAGATTTTCTTTCACTGGACACTTTAATAATTCAGAGTTGAGCTCATTAAATAACAGACTGCATGTGCAGAAGTCTGCAGATATTTACCCCATCATTTAGTCTATTTATTTACGTGTACATTTATGTTTTTTTAAATTATTGTCATTAATATTATTGACTAGTATGAAAATGTTCATGATTTATTTATAATTGTGTTAAAGAGCCACTATTTTGCATTAAAAAAGTTAATATTTTGGTTTAGGGGTCTCCAACAACAGACTGATCTGCATGCCAGGTCAAAAAACACTTTCATTGTCTGATAATCTGCATTTATTTTACCTAATTATCCCAGTGACTCCCATTAGAATCGTTCAGCGATTAATTTGTTTCCAAACCCCTCCTTAGCGCAAAGTTAATCTGCACTTATTGGTCCGATGACCCAGTCTATTGCGTTCATCGCGAGAGAGAAAGAATAGTCGACCACGGCTATGAAATAGCAGCCAGAGAGTATGTGAGAGCCCAATGCTGGAATGCATTAAAGCAGTGCAGTTAAACACCAGCATATTACTCTTCTCTTAAACCTAACCCCAAGTAATAACAACAACACACATTCAGTAATAATCCACACAGTGGCAAAAGTTGAACTATTTTGAAAATTGACCGCATTGCGCTTTTGTAGGAATGGCTGATGTTGGCCAAAGCAAAGGCAAACAGCAGAGGATCGGCAAATTAAAAACGCATATAAATCAGAAAGAAGCAACCGTCATGTTTTTAACGTAGTTTTGGACATGATATGTGAACAGCCCCATACAGATTTAACCATACAGATCTATAATCAATACGTGATTACCAGCCGCGTGGGGCGATTGCAGCTTATAACACACAATAAACACATATTTTGCAAACTACACATAATGAGGCAACAATTTTAATGACACGTTATGATCTGGAGGAAGAAGAAACTGGTCCATATGAACTATTAAAGTCTGACAAAGTCCCATAGTCTCTGCTGCTCCTTCAATAGCAAACGGCCGGCGAATCCCGCATTGCAGCATAGATTATTGTATCAAAAATCAGAAAAATGACAGGAGCAAACACAGCACTAGGTTGGCTATACTGTGGTGTTGTTGTGAAAATGAACTTTAACCCTTTATTCCCCGCAGCCGAATCTCCATCTGTCAGTGATTGTCATCTTCGCGTCATGATCAGTCCTGTGATCCCCCGCGCCTCCGCTGGTGTCTGAAGTGAAAGCGCGAGCACATTTTACGAGAACTGAAACTACATATTTGGTGATGTACCGCATCGACGTCGATGCGATCAAGCAAAAGATGTAAACCCAACTTGGTTCGTTTATTCTACTCTTGAGTCAAATATTTAGCTAAAGAGTTAATAGTTTTAAACATGCTGCACCTTTAGATTTGAGCCTCAGCTGGATGTTTTCATTCACCTTGAGCTGTTTTACACTGCATGAAGATCATTTTCAAAAACCCGTAATAGTGGCTCTTTTAAAGAATGAAGAGGACAACATTAAGAGTCAGAAACCATGACATGTCTGAGGGCCATATTCAGTAGATCAGGCAGACAGCAGTCGTGGTGAAATGCTGGTCTGGTTCATGTTCAGTAAATGGTTGAGTTGAGTTGAATCTGAATGTCAGTGTTGAAGGAAGATCCGCTGAAGAGCAGCTCCAGCAAACTCAACCAAACAACACAATCTGTGATGGAGACCATGAAGCAAAACTCCAGCAGCTGATGGAGATCCAGAAGAAAGCTTTAGAGAAAGCAGACTCAGACATGAGCGTTTCTCCTCTGAGCAAACAGAGAAAGATGAAGAGCTGCAGAACACAAACACAAACACTGAATCCAGAATCACTGAAGAGAAGAGAAAGAAGAACATCAGCTGAATAAACTCCTGCAGACCACAGCTGACATCTACAGCAGTCCAGAGAGAGGAAGAAGAGGACTAGAAGAAGAGGATCTGATCACGCGAGACACAATCATCAACATAAGAACAAACACAAAACATAACAAAACTGAACAAACTGTTAATGTGTGTTTGTGTGCGTGTGTGCGTTTGTGGTCTGATGGAGACTCTGGTGAACAATGATGGACTTTTGGTTTGTTTCTGTCCACTAATGCTTTGACTTTTGCTCTCTATGATGATGAAGAGCGACAGATTCATCTGGATGATTTTATTTCTGATGCTTGAGTGACTGTAGTTTCACATCCTCCTGTGAGCTGCTCCAGGATCAGTTCAGTCTCTGTGACTCTGACTGACTGACGGAGGTTTTTGTACCACTCTTTATCACTGTGTCAACACATCTTTACTGTTGATGTAGTGTAAACTCATACAGTAATAATGTCCAGCATCTTCAGTCTGGACTCCACTGATGCTCAGAGTGAAATCAACATGAGATCCACTGCCACTGAATCTAGATGCTGTTCCTGACTGGAGACGGTTTACGTAATAAATCAAGAGTTTAGGAGCTTCTCCAGGTTTCTGTAAGTACCAGTACAAACAGGGGTATGGGCTGCAGTTTGAATATTGATTGAGTTTGCATCTCATCTCCACATTTTCTCCAGGTTTAACAGGTTCCACTGGACTTTGAGTCACTGTGATCTGAGCTGCACATCCTGAGAAACAAATCATTCACACTATTAGTCTACAAAGATCATCATTTATCAGTCCATCTTTAAGCTTGTTCAGATGACACTACAGCTATAATATATTCAGATATAAACTGGTCACCTCGCAGGATGAAGCTGTATGAAAGAGTCCAGATGAAGATGATGATGAAGGTCATGATGATGAAGATTGATGTGTGTGTCAGTGATGAAGTGTTCAACTCACAGCACTATAAACACTCACAGCACTCAATATGCAAACACACACACACACACACACACACACACACACACACACACACACACACACACATGATCATCTACATCAGGACAGCAGATGCGTTGGTTGTGGTTTTGTGCTGCAGCTTTACTAATAAGCCGCTTCTGAACTGTTGTAATATCTCTGAGCTCGGCTAAATCAGTGTAATGGAGTGATTCTATTCAGAGAGAGATATTCAGAGATATGTTTAGGGATATATTCAGTGTGTCGATGGTTGTGATGTTTGTAATAGTTGAGGGCAGTAAATGTGGTTTGATCTGCTCTATTCTGAGCTGCAGAAACTCTGAACACTGTTTGATTGGTTTAACTCTCTGAACTGGAACAGATTCACTTTCACTTCTGCTCATCAACTCATCATCAGACCCTCATCAAGACTAAGTTTTATAACACTTTTACACTGCATAAATGTAATATTAATGAAATAAAACTGAAGATGGAGTGGTTTGTGTATTTTTGGTTAGACATTACCCTCAGACATTACCCTAATTTTGATTACATATGATCTTAACTGGTGAGTTATGATGAACAATAATTTAATTAATCATTTTCATAATAATCTACTGTATAATTTGAAAAATAACAGCATGTACTGTAAAAGTATGTTTTAAGTGATTTTAAAATATTGATAGTGGAGATGAGAAAATTATGCTGAAACAATTACATGAGGATAAGTAGAAATTATTTTCAGAAAAACTGATAAAGCTCAAGCAAACTTTATATTCAAATCAATATGTGTTGGTTCAAAGCCATTGTGTGTGTTCAGTGTTTGAGCTGCTCCAGGATCAGTTCAGTCTCTGCGACTCTGACTGACGGAGGTTTTTGTATCACTCTTTATCACTGTGTCAACACTGGACCACTGTGGAAACTCTGACAGTAATAATGTCCAGCATCTTCAGTCTGGACTCCACTGATGCTCAGAGTGAAATCTCTGTTAGATCCACTGCCACTGAATCTAGATGCAGTTCCTGACTGAAGCTTTTTCACATAACGAATCAGGAGTTTAGGAGCTTCTCCATGTTTCTGCAAATACCAGAATAAACCTTCATCTCCATCATTCCATCTCTGCACATCTCTGCTGGTTCTGCAGGTGATGGACACGGGTTTGTCTGGTTCTGCTGTGATTGAGGGACTCTGAGTGACGCTGATCTGTCCTCCACACTCTGAAACACAAGAAGAAAGTCAGCATTAGTCCTGAATGTCTGAGCTGTGAGATGCAGTGAAAGTGAGTCTGACCGTGGAGGATCAGCAGCAGAGAGCAGATGATCAGAGCGAGCGTCTTCATCTTCACTGAAGCTCAGAGAACTGAAGGACAGAGATGCTGATTCACAGTCAGACTGATATTGAGCTCCAGTGTCAGGGGCAGGACACACATTCAAAACCTCCAGCTCACACTGAGCACAGATCAGCAAGATCAGCATTAACAAAACCTTCATATTCAAATATAAACATTTTTAAATGAGCCTGTTCTCAAAGCAAGAGTGTAGATTTACTCTCCACCTGCACACAAAAACAAAGAAGAAGTGATGAGCTGAAATGATGATCATTCTCATGTGCTGTTCTGTTCATGCGCTTCATTTCAGGCTTTTGAAAACATTGTAAATAAGTAAATCTAATACACTTAATACTAAAAACAACATGAAATCAAGCAGGTCTCATGCTGCAATATTTACACAATTTCAGTTTGAGGAGGAATTAATCTTCTGGAAAGGGGCAGACATGTGACGCAACAACTATTTTATCTTGATTATTGTTTTTTAATAATTGTTTTGGAGGCCAAAATCAGAAATAAATGATTATTTACAGTCATGCCTACTGTTATGGTGGACTAGCAGCAAACTTGACTTGAAGTGACTTACACTTGTCTTTAATATGTCGCTTGTCTTTCATTATCTCCTCGTCTCAGTTGAGTCTAACACAGTAAATCCTGACTGGATAATTTCCTTTCTAGTTTTGTGCTGCAAACATCTAAACGAACCGTAGCAGCCGCTCACTAGACACCAGAGAAAGGCACAGCCAATCGCCATGTCCATATGTGTTTGAGGGAGATGGAGAACAGGATTGAACCCTTTCTGTACATTTACATTAATGAGAGTTGACAGCATTATTTTATTTTGGACGTGACTAAATTATTGATGGGTCATTTCAGTAATGGGTGGATATTGGTCTGGACACGTCTCCTCTCTCCATGCTAGTTCTACAGCCTTGTCCTGAAAAGTCTCCTTTGATTTCAGGAGTGTGTAGATGTTCATCAGGTGGTTTCAGAGTTTGGGTTTGGACGTCAGATACACATCATTTATACACATTTTCCCTTGTTGATCAGCAAGTGAGGGTTCATATTAATAAGGAGAAATAAAATGAAGGAGATTCATGTGCTGTGTGTGTGTGTGTGTGTGTGTGTGTGTGTGTGTGTGTGTGTGTGTGTGTGTGTGTGTGTGTGTGTGTGTGTGTGTGTAAAGATGTGTGTGTTGTGAGCCTCAGTTCAGTCAGTGAAGCGTTCAGAGGTTTTTGTTCAGCCGCTCTATTAGTTTGTATCACTGTGGTACACTTTCGGCGGCGGCACTAAACTGGATGTTGGCAGTAAGTAAATAAACATATTCTTATTAATACAACAGAGGATTGATCAATTATTTCTAGTCATGTATAGACAGAAAGCTCTTCTCCAGTTGATCATGTTCTGTAATATTGTGTTCTGTGCAGTGAGTAAACAGTGAGTGTTTGTCAGTCGACACCATACAGAGGATTTTCTCTGTTGCAGGATCTTTTGTTTTCAGACTGAATTAAATAATTTCTTGCTTCATAAGATTGTGATTTAGAAATAAATGGCAGCAATTACATTAAACGACTCATTAAAGGCTGCTATTTTAACAGCACTGCAGAATATGAGATGAACTTTTAGCAAAACCTTTTTACATTTAAGTTTTGGTGTTGATTTAGGAAAATGACGAGCTTAAATCTTTATACTTTTGATCACTTTAGTTTGAAGAACTTCACTGTTTTTAAACTGTATCCAACATTTCTTCATGATCATCAAGATATAAATGAGAGTGTGTAAGTGTGTATAATCGTGTGTGACAGATGCTTTTCAGCAGAGCGAGTTACAGTGAAGATGATCCTGAAACTGACACAGAATCATGATCGTCTCTTCAGTGTAACTCTCAGTGCTTTGCTGATCACAGACTCTGCATGAGTTGTGTTTCTGACAGTCAGATTCAGCTTTTAGAGTTAAATCAGACCTCAAATCCTCACTGATCTCCGTCTTTACTCAGTCAGCAAATGTGCTTTGAGAGTTTTTGGTTGAGTTGATCTGGATATTGCGAACGCTGAGAGTTTTAAAGATGTTAAATTCACACGTGTGTTACTGAAAGTCATTCTGGATTGAGGATTTGTGCTTATTTAAAACCAAATAGTTTATTTCAAGTTTATTTCTTCATGAAGCAGCAGATTTATTCTGAACATGTTCTCTTCTCACAGTAATTATGAATATGATCGTGTAAATGGAGGAAAACTTTAATGAGTGACGGCTGAGTGTTTAGAAGATGCTGAATTTACACACAATTGAGTCTCTGAATGACTGTTTAGACTGAACGTGACGCTTTACTGAGTTCTGTTCAGTGTTTTAACCATAATAATATTCATTTTTAATTTAATATATATTAATATACAGAGTCAACTTTATTCTGAACCTGTTATTATCTTCATATGGGAGTCATTGTTCATTGAGTAATGCTTGTTCTCGAGTGTGTGTGTGTGTGTGTGTGTGTGTGTGTGTGTGTGTGTGTGTGTGTGTGTGTGTGTGTGTGTGTGCGTGAGTGTCTCCTGGTCACGGCTGTGTTTGTCTGCTCTTCTCTCCTCAGCCGTCTCTCCTCCTCAAGTGAGCGTCCTGTCGCCCTCCAGTGCAGAGATCTCCTCCAAGCGGGCGGCTACACTGCTGTGTGTGGCCAACAAGGGCTTCCCGTCAGACTGGAGGCTGGTCTGGAAGGTGTCGGGCAGCAGCGGGGGTCAGGAGAGCAGCAGTGCTGGGCTCCTGGAGAAAGACGGTCTGTACAGCTGGAGCAGCAGCCTGACTCTCTCTGAGCAGCAGTGGATGGAGAGCGTCTCAGTGAGCTGTGAGGCCACACGGAGCGGCCAGCCTGCGCACACTGCAGAATACACTGTGACGAGACAGCAGTGTTCAGAGTAGATCTGCAGCACACACACCACATCTGTGTGTCTTTACTCACATTCACTGCACTTTCAGTCTCTCACTGCGCTCTGCTCTGCTTTCTGTCTTTCACACCAGACTAAATGTGTGGAGTTTCTTATTCTGTCATCATTTGATTGTAATTCAGTCAATAAATAAAGCTGTAAGTGTCTGTCTTTGAGTCTCGTGTGTCGTCTTTATTTCAGGACAGTGGCAGTGTGTGTTTCTGTGTCAGTTTAGTTTCTGCTTCATGTTTGATCAATAATCTTCAGTCAGTGGAGCATGAAAACAGCTGCAGATTCAGGAGGAACAGAAACATGCAGATCACTCATCAACATCACTCACACACTGATAGAGGAGCAGAACATGATAGAGAGAGATTTGGGTTATTTATTTGATGGAAAACATAACAAATGCTGTTTTCAGTTCATTTAAATGGAAATTATTACTTTGTGAATTTTTCATGAGTTAAAAGTAATAATTAAATGCAGTACAGCTTCCAGTGCTGATATTGGCACTAAAATGCTGCTTACATGTAGGTCTTCACGTGATTATACTGTATACATATTAAGATTTTATTTTTAACACTGACACTTCTGTTTTTTCCAGATTTTCATTCACTGGACACTTTAATAATTCAGAGATGAGCTCATTAAATAACAGACTGCATGTGCAGAAGTCTGCAGATATTTACCCCATCATTTAGTCTATTTATTTACGTGTACATTTATGTTTTTTTGAATTATTGTCATTAATATTATTGACTAGTATGAAAATGTTCATGATTTATTTATAATGGAGTTTGTACAGTGATATTTTCTGTCTTTCAGTAGATTTATTATGTGAGAGAAATTCTTTGATTACCAAATAAGTGGATCTAATTAGATTTGCTTTGTAAACATAATTTTTTTTTTTAAAGGTAATATTTTTATTTCATAAGTTAAGTTTTTAATTTCTGATACTACCAAAGTCATTCTGCATAAATCTGCAGATATTTTTAAAAAAATTTTTTTTTATACAAAATTCTGTGCAAAATAGCTAAAAATGTCCACAGATTTTGTCTGACGCCAGTCATAACTCAGTGTTCATCTGTGTGTAGTGTGTGTGTTTGAGCTGCTCCAGGATCAGTTCAGTCTCTGTGACTCTGACTGACTGACGGAGGTTGTTGTACCACTCTTTATCACTGTGTGAACACATTTTTACTGTTCATCCAGTAGTAACTCTGACAGTAATAATGTCCAGCATCTTCAGTCTGGACTCCACTGATGCTCAAGGTATAATCACTATGAGATCCACTGCCACTGAATCTAGATAGGGTTCCTGACGCAAGGCTGCTTGCATCATATATAAGGAGTTTGTGAACTTCTCCTGGTTTCTGTAAGTACCAGTAGACACACGGTGGGCCGCAGGTTGAATGTTTACTGAGTTTGCAATACATCTGAATATTTTCACCAGGTCTTACTGTTTTCACAGAAGGAGTCTGAGTCACTGTGATCTCAGCTGCTTTAGAGCCTGAAATACAAAAAATAAATATATATTTGAGTCCATTGTTTGTTTTTAAATGTTTGCTGTACTATTAATCTGTATGCTTACATCAATTTTTGTTTATTTATGTTTTTTTCTATTACAAGTTATTTTTCATTAATTTTAAAATGCATACTGTTCACCTCGCAGGATAAAGCTGTATGAAAGAGTCCAGATGAAGACGATGATGAAGGTCATGATGATGAAGATTGATGTGTGTGTCAGTGATGAAGTGTTCAACTCACAGCACTATAAACACTCACAGCACTCAATATGCAAACACACACACACACACACACACACACACACACACACACACACACACACACACACACACACACACTCACACACACCCACACACACACACTGCGCTCAGCTAATAGAGTTGAACAGTAATGTGTTGTAGTGGTGAACACAGCTGCACTGAGCGTTAATGTCAAATGAAGCTCTTGTGGTTTGATCTGCTCTATTCTGAGCTGCAGAAACTCTGAACACTGTTTGATTGGTTTAACTCTCTGAACTGGAACAGATTCACTTTCACTTCTGCTCATTAACTCATCATCAGACCCTCATCAAGATCAGCTGAAAGATTAATAAGACTTAAACAGCTTCTCAAATAATCAACAGAAATAGATGGAGACTCGAGATTCATCTGGGAGATTCATATGAGACTGGATTTGTGGATCTCTTGTTAGACAGTGATCTGATTCAGTTCAGTTCACAGTTTTAGATTCATTTCAGGATTATATGATTATGGGGTTCAGGCTGATGATGATTTATGCTTTAATATTAATATTTAAGTGCTTCTCGTACAGCGTTCAGTGAAAATAAATGATCAACTTTAGATGTTTCCTGCATCAAGTGTATTGACAGTGAACACATGAATACTGTGTACATGCAGACGACTGACATATGAGCAAGAGTTCAGTGTGTTCATCAAACATTTCAGACTTAAACACACCTAAAACTGACACATTTCATATTTCAGCATTTTATTATTTCCATATTCATCAGGAAAAACAGTTTTAAACTGATTTCAGTGCACTGAGAACTCTGAATTAGAGAAATAGTTCAATATTAGCTGAATTCAGTTTCCTCAAAGTCTCCTAGATGAAGAATAAATCAGTGATATGCTGAGACTCTGTCTGTGTTGATGAGGAATGAGCGCAGTAAATCAGCATTATTCTGTCACAGAAGCAGCTGGAGTTTCCACACAGAGACTGTTTTACTCCAGCAGTAGTGGAGGTGTCATGAGCTGCAGCTTTCTGAAGGTTTTACTCTGCTTTACTGGAGACTGGAGTGTGTTTGAGGCGTCGTGTGTTTATTTGATCATCAGATCATCAGCAGCTCTTGAGGAAAACAGTCGATCCATTCACCGTCAGACTGAACAGATTCACTGATGCTCAATAATGATCACAGAGAAACACAGTCTGTCATCTTCAGTGGGGTTTTTACTATTAAATTAATATTCTGATGGAGACTCTGGTGAACAATGATGGACTTTTGGTTTGTTTCTGTCCACTAATGCTTTGACTTTTGCTCTCTATGATGATGAAGAGCGACAGATTCATCTGGATGATTTTATTTCTGATGCTTGAGTGACTGTAGTTTCACATCCTCCTGTGAGCTGCTCCAGGATCAGTTCAGTCTCTGTGACTCTGACTGACTGACGGAGGTTTTTGTATCACTCTTTATCACTGTGTGAACACTGGACCACTGTGTTCACTCTGACAGTAATAATGTCCAGCATCTTCAGTCTGGACTCCACTGATGCTCAGAGTGAAATCAGTCTTAGATCCACTGCCACTGAATCTAGATGCAGTTCCTGACTGGAGAACAGTTGTGTAATAAATCAGGAGTTTAGGAGCTTCTCCAGGTCTCTGTAAGTACCAGCTAACAAGATAAGTTCCACTGCCATAACAGCAAGGTGGATCTCTGCTGAATCTGCAGTGGACAGTGAGGGATTGTCCAGGTTCAGAAAGCAGCACTGAGGGAGTTTGAGTCACTGTCACCTGACCAATACATTCTGCCAGAGGAGAAACATTAGAAATCATTTGTATAATCATATATAAGATCACAACACCGAAACACAAGTCAATAGCACACATGATGTTGAGGGACACACACCTCCACATAATGCTGCCAGTGTCCAGATCAATATGCTGCTGAAGCTCATTGTTGTTCTTGTAGGTTCAGTTGTAGTGAAAACAGTTGTTGATCGTGTTTTCTGTGTGTCAGAGTTATAAACACATGCAGAGCACTGAAGCGTGTGCCGCTCATGTAAAACACTCCACATGCAAACACTGATGGAGTGAAACTGGTGTAATCTCTTTTACTCTACTGGGAATCCTCACTCACAGATGTGCATTACAGTGTATTCAGTATATCAGCGTGTGTTTTGATTTAAAATAGAGTTAAACAGCATAGCAGAACTTGCAAAACTAAACACTATTACAATGTTAAACTATCATGATGTGGGAGTTTGGATTGTGTATATAGTTTGTATTTTACAGTAAGGTTACAATCCAAGATTTCTGACAAAGACTCTAAGATAAAATACAAGAACTGAATAAAGGATGTCACTGTTTGTTTGCAGTCACCATTAGTGTTGGTCATTAGTGTTGGCTTTACAGGCTTACTAAATCCTATGTTTTGTTGGCTATTTTATCTGTCTGTCTGTATGTTTTAATGAGTATAAATATTTAGTTTATATTGGAAGTCAAAGGTGAGACTATAGAGAGACAAAGTATTATAAAACATTGTCATTTGAGCAATTTGTTTAACAAAAGCTTTACTTTAGTGACGCCTGCTGGGTGAAACTGTAAATACAACTGAAAACATTCATTACAAGTTCAAGTGCATTCATTCATTTTCCTTCGGCTTAGTGTCTTATTTATCAGGGGTCACCACAGTGGATTGAACCACCAATTAATCCAGCTTATGTTTTAAACAGCGGATACCCTTCCAGCTGCAACCCAGTACTGGGAAACACCCATAGACCCTCATTCACACACACACACACACACACACACACACACACACTAATACACTGTGGCCAATTTAGTTCATCAATTCCCCTATAGCGCATGTCTTTGGACTGTGGGGGAAACCGGAGCACCCGGAGGAAACCCACACCTACATGGGGAGAACATGCACTATACTGCGCCATTGCGTCGCCCACTTATACATTATTAAATAAATTTGAAAATTCGCAATGGCAACTATTATTACCGTTGGCTCACTAGCTTGAATAAAGTTTGGTTTTTGGCCGTTCATAAGAAAAGGTTGGAGCACCCCTGAGGTGAACAATCTCAAAGGGCATCTATGGTGAAAAATCTGCTTTTAAAGTTGTTTGGACAGACATGTGTGTAAGTATAGTGTATATACTGTCATATTGGGGTGAAATAAACACACCCAGTCCTTTTTTTCAGATTTAACAACATAAAAACGGTGGACCAATTGGAGCCTTAAAGGCCCAGTGGAAACAAAAAAACAGCAACAACCTTTTCCCAGCTATGATACAGACACTTCAAACAGCTATAATAAATCCTCAGATGGGTGTTTTGAGCTGAAACTTTACAGACACATTCTGGGGACACAAAAGACTTATAATAAATATGGAAAAAGGGGTGACCTTGGTGCCATTTAATCTTTGAGCTTCTTCACACGACTCAACTCCTAAACACTCGCTGCATCGGGCTCGTGGCTCTCAGAACTGCCTACACCGATACCAAACCGACCAATCACAGAGCTTTTGCTATGCCTCATTGCGAGATGTATTTACATTATTTGAGAGGTGTGCGTTAGCGAGGGCTATGCGACAGCACAAATGCTGCATCAAAGCATACGCGTGCTCTTGAAGTATAATATAATCAGACGTATAGAATATACTAAAATAAAACTGTAAATCAGCCATTTAGAAATTGACTCGTGCAAGTGTCAGTTAAAGTGTTGGAGAGATGAAAGAGTGTTTCCTACAGGTGGTTTGTCAAACCCACTTACCTGTCTGAGGCACACTCAAACAATCTCTAAATCATTTCTGGATACACTATGCATTTATTTCCCCAGCTCTATGTAGTAGCATTGCAATTTCACATGCATTTTTCTCTGCTTAAAATCTTCCAAATGTTTGAGCTGAGTGCAGATATTTGCAAATACACGGTCAATGGAAATGTGGAGGTTTACTATGCAAAACCCCAGTGTGAATAGCTTGTTGTTTGGGATCAGACTCTTCACATCGGGAGATCGGTGGACATAAGCGGATCCCACACAGACTGAGTTAAGTCAGTGGAGGATTTACTGTTAGTTGATTTATCAATTTGACAATTTCTAGTTTCTTTTGAGTTGTTGATTGATGATATTACTTTAGTTTGTCAAAGGGATTTTGTGCGTTGCATGCGCTGACCTGAGACTGATAACCAGCGGATCAACAAGAAGCAGATACAAGATGAAAACACCGTGGCTTATACTTCTCCTGAGTAAGTCTGTAATCTGACAAAGTGTGCAAACTGACAAGATTCCTATGTTTAACTAATGCTTAAAGGGATCGTTCACCCCAAAATTAAAATCTACTCACTATTTATTCATCCTCAATTGGCTTTAAACATTTATGACTTTCTTTTTAATGCTGAATGGAAAAGAAGATATTTTGAAGAAAGCAGAAAGCTGTTGACATGCACATTGGGAAAAATAAACACTATGGAAGTCAATGGTGACAGGTTTAATGTCTAAATGTCATCAACATATGAGAGAAACTCAAACAGGCTTCTGAGAAGTCAAGGACGAGTAAATGATAACAGAATTTTCAGTTTTGGGTGAACTGTCCTGTTAATGTGTTAGCTGAGAGAACAAATGCATTCAGTACTAATGTATTATCATGTGATTTGGCTTTATGTGGACCGTTTATTTGTAGAATATACTATTAATATATATTTTTAAATGTATTTAAACATGTTGATTTCCAGTCATGTGTTGTTGACAGTTCCAGAAACTGTCCCTCTTTGTTTTCCTTCTTCTATATTTGCATTTACGCCTTTATAAATATTCCTGGAAAAACTCCCCGGCTCTGCTAAGATTTGCATAACCAAGCCTAAATGGTGAACAATATTCCATACATTTGCATTGACCCTGCAGTAACATACAGTGTTGGTCAACCATTAACAGTTTAGTAAATTACAGTGTGCTCTGTTTAATGCCTGAACACTGTCAAAATATTACTGTGTTAAAGATACAATCTCAGAAGCATCTTGATATATGTTTACCTGCATACTTCATCTGCTTGCATTTTAAAATGCTGTCATTTTAAACTCTTGATAAACTAGTATTTAAACACACACATAGTTAAGGATTAAAGTATAAGGGTCTTATTGCACATAAGCTGTCACACACCCACAATGTTTTATCAAAAGCACATGAAATGCCTCCACTGCTGAGACTGCAGCTCTGCACAAGACTTTTGGCCAGCGGAGATATTAAAATGGTTGTGAGTCTGGTTTTCTCAAGGTTTTTTTTCTTCACTCTCCTATTGGTGAAGTTTTTTTCCCTCTCCGCTGTCGCCACTGGCTTGCATGGTTCAGGATCTGTAGAGCTGTGCATCGATGAATTTGCTCCTCAGTGCTTGGACTCTCAATAACGACTTCAAACCGCACTGAACTGAGCTAAACTGAACTGAACTTAAACACTAAAAACTGAACTACCCTGATCCAGTTACTATGACCATTTATGTGAAGCTGCTTTGACACAATCTACATTGTAAAAGCGCTATACAAATAAAGCTGAATTGAATTGAATGAAATGCATATAAAACAGTTAACAAAAATAAATTGTATAAGAAAAAGAAAAGCCAAACACAATAATTATATAAAACATAGTCACATCGTATCTGTAATGTCAATTATTTCAACCTTAGAGTGCAAGTTTATTATCCTCATTTGTTGTAAGGCCTGTGACTCTGTCCCCATTTCAAGCTAATTTAAGCCATTTGGGCACAATAAATAAATGTGTATAGCTTAACAATTAATTGTATATTGCTTATTTCACTTGTATATTTGCTCTGTTGTATTTAACTATGCTTGTAAGTTGTTTATTACATATTATTCAGCTACGCTCCCTAACAAAACCTTTAAAAATCTCAATCTAAAATTATGAATTATTTCCAAATAGAGCTATTTGTGAAACTGTATTCATATCATAGTATATATTACAGTAAGAGGACATATTGCAATGTCACTTTTTTCTAATATCGTGCAGCCTTGATATATAACATATTTACTTAAAAGAAATAATATGCAAAATATCTTAATGAAAAATTATTACTCCGCTTCTGAATTTAGAAATAGCCACAAACTAACTTTGATCCTAATTCAGTGTTTATTCGTTGTCTTGAATAATATCACTTTAAAAATTTTTAATTTGATAAAGATTTGATCAATTTGAAAAACATAATTATTCTGCAAAGTATTTTAACAAGCAAAAATACTAAATTGGTTTCTACAAAAATATGACCCTGGACCACAAAACCTTATTGCTTGATTATGCTTTTGGTAATAGCCAAGAAATACACTGAGGCTGTATGTTTTTCTTTCATGCCGAAAATCACTAGAATATTTGAATAGAATATAAAAAAGATCATCTTCCATGTTTCCTACTGTAAATATATCAAAACTTAATTTTTTTATAGTAATATGCATTGCTAAGATCTTATTCTGGACAAATTTAATAAGGATTTTCTCAATATTTAGATTTTTTTTAAACACCCAAATTACAGCCATTCAAACAGTTTCATCTCGGCCACACATTGTCATATCCTAACAAACTATACATCAATGGAAAATGTATTCATTTAATTTTTATATAATGCATAGATCTACATTTCCAAAAATGTACACTTAGAACTGTTTTTTTTTTTTTGCAAGTGGTGCTCACTGCAGAGCCATTTGGGCAGAGCTGAGCTCCAGCAAGGGGGAGCTTGAGCTCTCGCTCCTCCTTTCTTGCAGTTCTTCTACGAGTGATGTCACTGGGGGTAGGGTTAGGGGTGGGGTTGGTGTACGCATTAAAACAGCTTATAGGAGGAGGAGCGAGAGCTCATGCTTCCCCTCGCTAGAGCTCAGCTGGCTCTGCAGTGAGCACCGTCTCTTTTTTTGTGGATCACAAATGGTAACATTTACATTATTTCAGGCAAGTACATTGTAAGTAACCAATTACTTAAAAAAATGTTGTATTTAATTACACCTAACAATGCAAAATGTAGCTAAAATCACTACCCAACACAGGCCCATTATGAAAATGTGCTCCGGGTATAATGTGCTTGTGGTTGCATAGTGCTGCATTATTTGTGTAAACGCAGCGACCTCTGGTGGATTTACAAGAAATTACACCAATGAGAAAACGTGTCCTAGTAATGTATTTGAGATTATCAGGGTAGGGCTGCACAATATTGGAAAAATCTGACATTGTAATATTTACATTTAGTCATTTAGCAGACGCTTTTATCCAAAGCGACTTACAAATGATATTTAGTTGCTGTTATAGTTCTGCTATTATATATATTGCGATATGAGTACAGTTTCACCAGATGGAATTGAATAGCTCTATTTGGAAATAAATCATTAGTTAGGATTGATTGAGGGGATTTTCTAAGGGTGTAAATCATGTGTAAAAAATAATAAACAAACTGCAAGCTAAAATAAGTACAATAAAGCAACGGAAAAAGTAAAATACACAGTGCTTAATGGTTTTCCAGTGAGTCAAACAGTATTTATGTATAAAAATGTAATCATGAAATGTAAAGTAACACATGCAAAAATGATAGATATTCACTGTGCTATGGGTATTATCTGCAATGACTCCACAAATCTCATGTATTCTCAGCTGATCAACTATAATCCTAACTCAACAGTGCAGGTCCTGTGACATGACTATTGACTATATTGCAATATCGATGCTGAAACAGTATATTGTGCAGCCCTAGTCCAGGGCACATAGAAATATGAATTCTGATGCATGCATAAAGATTGCTTTAACCCGTTTATCAATGACCAGGCTCGGTGGTATGGGCAGAGGAACAGTATTATCCTCAGAGCAATAACATCACATGGGATAAGGCCAGACTCTACTGCCAGCAATGCTTCAAGGAACTGACCACCATCACCAGCAGAAACGTCCATCTGATTGCCAACAACCTCTCGGCGGACTACTGGATCGGACTGCGCAGGAGCTACAACGGCACACTCCCATGGTCCAAATGGTCCAACGAGGATCCTGTTACCTACCAGAACTGGTATCCCGGCCATCCCGTGCCGAACACAGAAAAAAAACAGCCAATCTGCCCAACCACACAAACTCCACTCACCTCCACAACCACAATAACAACCACATCTACATCCACACCGACAACCACTACGATGGAAACTTCATCATTTGTGGCTAACAAATCAGGCGATATGTGTCCCATCCTGGTCGATATTCTTGATTGCTTAAATATGACGTATAAGGATCTTGAAAGTACAGTGAACTCATACACGATCACGACGCCCAAAACAACAACACACAGCACTTTGCCGACTAGCACAACAACATACAGCACTCAAACCACTCCACAAAGCACCACAGTCAGCAGCTGCATCCTGGAACCCGAACCCGATCCGGATGTGTACATCGAGGACTCCTGTGTGGTCTTGCTCAGCTTCGGCATGTGGAAGGAAAAAGTGTGTAATATAAGTCGACCCTTCATCTGTTATGACGGTGAGTGCTTGGCATTTACGGTTTATTGGGTGTGTTTTAATAATAATGATGATAATAATAATAGTGAGTTAGGCGATAGCATGATCGCCTCACAGCAAGAAGGACGCTGGTTTGAGCTTCGGCTGAGTCAGTTGCCATTTCTGTGTGGAGTTTGTATGTTCTCCTCGTGTTGGCATGGGTTTCCTCTTGGTGCTCCAAGTCCCACAGTCCAAACACATTTGGTGAATTGGGTAGCTAAATTGGCCGTTGCGTATGGGTGTGATTGAAAGTGTATGGGTGTTTCCCAGCATGGCGAAGAGTGAAGTCTTGCAATGTTACGCAAATGAAAAAGGCAGAATGTGAGATTTGACTATGAGACATACCATCTAGTGTAACCCCAAGACTTTTTACATGGGTTGACAAATTGACTGGAGAGTTGTGAATCAATGAACAGGGTAAAAGATTGAACTTTGGATAAAGCAGACTTTGACCCAACCAGGGGTGCGTTTTCCAAAACCATCGTTAGCCAACTAAGGTTGCAAGTTGCGCCGTTACAAACATAGTTAGTTGATTTGGCGTTTCCCAAATGCATCGTTCCAATGAACATTCATAAACTTGTGCACTTGCAACTACACCTCTGGAGCTGTAGTTAGAAACATAGTTCCTGGCTGTGTTCTAATTCCAGTTATCCCCCTATGCCCTATTCGTTTAGAATATTCTGACATTTAATCTTGGAAAGATTAAAAATAAAAAGACATTAAGGTCATCTCTCTTAGGTGTAATTTGCTTTCAAAGTATTATTACAGTTCAGTTTTAGCGATCTTCATGTTTACAATTGTGCTTCCTTTACAGTGCACTTTGAAAACATTGATGTCATTTTAAACACTGCCTCATGACGAAAGCTGTAGGTGACCTAATATTTAAAAGCGGAATTTATGTTATGTCTCCAAAGCTTGTGAAAACAAAAAACATAGCATATGTTAATTCTTTTAGTATTATAGTAGGTTATTTATTCAGTATCTGTACTATATATGACATGGCCTTCTGGTTAGAGCTTTCTGCAGTGGTTTACATGTCTCAAATTGTAAAAGTAGACTTTTTAAAAAATAAAAAAATAAACAATATCCTACTTAATAATAATAACAAACATTAATATTAAAAATATTATTATTAAAGTAGGATTTTTTCATTTCCTAATAAATAATAAATATTACATTTAATTTCCTAATAAATCGCCTCATTTATTTATAATTTATATATGATATTAGAATAGTGTTTGCTTTTGTAAGTGATTTAATGTTTTAGAATAAAATTTGTAATGTTATTACAAATATCTCAATAATATTTGTAAAGGAAACATTGGTCCTATATGAGCCGTTTACATATATTTCAGTTAATATGGAAAGCGAGTGCATGTTTTAACTATTATTGGATTTTATTTTTAACGTGCGTGCGTGTAAAACAATATAATTTGCACAAAGAAATGATGGGGTTCTTCTCTAAAGTAGCTGTTACTCCACCCCATTTAGAGCGCCATTATGAGCATTTTACTTTATAATTAATGTGGTTCAAACGATGGGTCTGTGAAAGAGAAACTGCAGGTTTTGTGAAACACTCATCACTACATCATTCTTTTCGCAAACGATGCAAAACTTAAGCCAAAACTGAAGCTCATCTAACAAAATAACTTAAGATAACGGTCCAAAAACTAGTACAGCAAAATTTGTTATAGAAAAATAGGTGATTTTGGGACCCCTAAGATGTTTTGACGTGCCCTGACATTTATGCTTATTTCAGCTACTTATTACATAGTACTGGCCAACATTTGTTTTATTTGTATTCAGCACGAACTGTGCTACAATAATATGTGAGAAATATTGATGTACAAGATTGTGTTTTTTAGAAAAAAAATTGTATGCGTGGTTAGTAAGTTTTGGAGAAAATAATGTAGCTGAAATAATGTCCAAAAAACAACTTTAGTTAACAACTTTTCTTGTAGGCTAGAATATTTACTTCACAATTATGTAAAATTATTTAGTTCTCTCATTCAAAGAAAACATTACTATAATATACAATTTGTTACGTTTGTTTTGGGTCATCTCAGCTCTATGCGTGTGTGACAATGGTCATGAATAATTTGGACAAAACAAAAAACAAGACAAAAGACACTCCCCCACTGGCTAATGTTCACCCTTCAATGGCATTGTAAAGCAATGTTCAGCAGCAAAAGCTAGCCCAAACTAAATGCTTTGTGTATTACTTGCTGTTTGACCATGCATACACTATGGGTAAACAATACATATATCTTTTAAATTCATATTTTTAATAGGAAGCTATACAATATTATATTTGTGCACATACATTAGAATAGTCAGTACTAAAGCCAAATCTGGAGCTAATCTAACAAAATAACTTACAATAACGGTCCAGAAACTAGTACAGCCAAATGTATATGTTATAGAAAAATATTAAACACAATTTTTTTTAAAAAGAAGAAAGAAAAGAAAGAGAAAAGAAGTGAAGAAAAAAATGTAAATATTTAGTTGAAATTTTGTAGATTGTAATTTTTTTAGTTGACTTAACTTAAAAGAGTTGACCTAGTAGCTTTTAAGTAACCTAATGCTGCGTTCACACCAGTAGCGGATAAAGCATCAAGCACAACTGATTTACATGTTAAGTCAATGCAAAGATGTGAATAGATATCCTGTTGCTCGAAACATCAGACATCGTGCGGATCGCTCATTTCACGCGAATCGCTTGAAATGGAAAATCTGAACGTCAGCAGACATTTGCCCTGCATTTAACCACACATGAGCTTGCTCTTGTAGGGAAGTGATTAAGATGTAGCGCCTGCAGTAGTTGTCCAGAGGGGAAATCCTCCTGCCGACACCGGACAACAGCTCATCAAGCTAGGCTCTGCTTAGTCGGACGCACCGCTGAAAGCTTCCGTCATCTGGGAACAGTTTCTGGAGGAGTGGATGTACTTACAGAGCTGGTGCACCTCTGAAAGGATCTAGTGCACTCAGACACGGCGCCGAACAATTCAATGCTGTTTTTCAGCCTTCCTAAAGCACACAAAGCGTAGCTGCTCTCTCAGTAAAATCCATGTTATCAATTTAGCAGTGAAGCTAGAGTAACCAGGCAGACAGACATGACAAGACGTGAATCCACGTCTATTGTAAAATGAATTAGACATACGAATGAAGATAACTTATGCACGAATGGTGCAAGTAAACTCAATGTTCACGCATCTGTTTACATGAGAATAGTGGGATTTATTCACTTGCACCATGTCTACTGTAAATAGCATTAAAGTTAAGTAGATGAACTGTGCATATAACAAAGTCAGCTTGTCTCTTTTAAGACAACAAATTTACTTACACTCTTAGGTAAAGCGACTAATTGCTTTTTACAGTGTTTGGTATTCTGGATTTTGAAATGTGTGGTCATTTTGTGAGTTTCCGCTTATATAATATGCATCTGTCTTTCCATAGATCGCTTTTTTGGGCAAATCAACTATTTCAATGTGATGAAAAATAATGTTAGTCTGAGCTGGAGTGCAGGACCCAGTGCTAAAAACATCAGTCACTATAGAGTGGAAATCACTGGAGATTACAACCAGACATTTAATAAGACTGGTCTGTCCGCTGAAATAGGAAATCTGACCTCGGGAACTCTGTACCGGGCTCAGGTGTTTCCAGTGAAATGTGGCCGGGATCTCAATCCACAGAATATCTCCTTCTACACCTGTGAGTAGACTTCCATTTATAAGTGTTTACATCACCATGAGTTTATGTTAGGCATAAAGTACATGCAGAAGGTTTTAATCACACAATAAACCCTACATGTTGCGCAGCACTGTTGTATAAGACTGAAAGGTTTGTTCTGTGAAAACAACCCTCCTTTATGTACTTTATCCTACTTATTACATGGCTGCTTGCCACAAACATAAAAATTAGACACAAAACATTGTTTGGAGCCGTAATAGTTTGTTAATTCATTAATTGAATGCAAAGCTGACAGACACAAATACAGCTGATGAGGTATACACTAACCTGCACATAATTCAGTCACAAGATGGCACCAAACAGTCAAAAGCAAAGCTGACAGACACTTACACAGCTGATGGAGTATACACTAACCTGCGCATTATACAGACACAAGATGGAGGCAGATAAAAACACAACAAACTAAAACAGCTGATTGAGTATACACTATCCTGCGCATTATTCAGACACAAGATGGAGACAGTCAAAAACACAAAGCTGACAGACACTAAAACAGCTGATGGAGTATACACTAACCTGCACATTATTCAGACACCAGATGGCTCAAAACAGTCAAAAACACAAGGCTGACAGAAACTAAAACAGCTGATGGAGTATACACTAACCTGCACATTATTCAGACACTAGATGGTGCCAAACAGCCAAAAACACAAAGCTGACCAAGACGAAAACAGCTGATGGAGTATACACTAACCTGTGCATTATTCAGACACTAGATGGTGCCAAACAGCCAAAAACACAAAGCTGACCAAGACGAAAACAGCTGATGGAGTATACACTAACCTGTGCATTATTCAGACACTAGATGGTGCCAAACAGCCAAAAACACAAAGCTGACCAAGACGAAAACAGCTGATGGAGTATACACTAACCTGTGCATTATTCAGACACTAGATGGAGCCAAACAGCCAAAAACACAAAGCTGACAGAAACTAAAACAGCTGATGGAGTATACACTAACATGAGCATTATACAGACACTAGATGGAGACAGTCAAAAACACAAAGCTGACAGACACTAAAACAGCTGATGGAGTGTACACTAACCTGCGCATTATACAGACACAATATGTTGGCAGATAAAAACACAACAAACTAAAACAGCTGATGGAGTATACACTAACCTGCACATTATTCAGACACAAGATGGCGCCAAACAGTCATAAACACAAAGCTGACAGAATCTAAAACAGCTGATGGAGTATACACTAACCTGCGCTATGTCATAATGTTGATACCATGATACAAGCATAAGCAATTAATTGCAACAAGAAAATGTAATATAGCACATTACTAGCTATAAATGTAATATAAGCATGCATTTTACACTACTGTGCATTAAACACTTTAACACTTATTAATTAGATTGTGTAGACATGTGCAATGCATTGTTTTTAAATCAACCCAACAAGTATTGATTACTCTTCTTCTCTTGTAGTGCCGTCTGCGGTGATGAATCTGACTGTGTTGAATGTCACAACTGTTAGCGCCTTCCTCAGCTGGAATAAACCAGACGGAAACCAAGATTTCTACTTAGTAATTGTGGAGGACTTGATATATGGAAACAATCAAACAGCAAAATGTCCAAACAAGCAATGCGGTATTACAGATCTTACTCCAGGAGTGTTGTATAATTTCACAGTCTTTGCAGTGGTGAATCAGACGACCTATGGAGTTCCAAGCAGCTATTCTGCTTATACCAGTAAGTTTTCAGCGATACATTGTCTATAAGTTTTCATTGTGTGGAAAAAGTGCATTATTGCATTAACATCGGCACACAAGAGTAATTTGCATAATGAGTTGGAGATGCTAGTTTCGTTTCAGTTTAATTCATACTGTCATTGAGCATTTATTTATATATTTTCTGTATTTATATTAATTTTGCCACATTTTTTGTCCGTTTTATAAACTGTTTTTGTTGATTTCTGTTTCAGATTTGTGGATAGGTTTAAACTATTATTACAGCTTTAATTAATTTGAGTTTTTATAAATTTTCAGATAATTAAACTTTTTAACTCTTAAATAAAAAACATTTAGAATGAAATAGAATGAAATAAATATATTCAACATAAGCGGCAACATGGTGGCTCAGTGGTTAGCACTGTGGCCTCACAGTAAGAAGGTCGCTGGTTCGAGTCCCGGCTGGGTCAGTTGGCATTTCTGTGTGGAGTTTGCATGTTCTCCCCGTGTTGGCGTGGGTTTCCTCCGGATGCTCGAGTTTCCCCCACAGTCCAAACACATGCGCTTTAGGGGAATTGATGAACTGAATTGGCTGCAGTGTATGGGTGTTTCCCAGTACTGGGTTGCAGCTGGTAGGGCAGATGCTGTGTAAAACGTATGCTGGATAAATTGGCGGGTTCATTTCGCTGTGGCGACCCCTGATAAATGAATGCAGTTTAATTTTAAACTAATTTGGAGAGGAGCATGTGCTCATGATTGACCCGGCTGGCCCACATTAGCTAATCATGATCCTCCAATCAAAGAATTCCAAATCTCTCTATATATCCTCATTTCCTTCCTAAAACTATCTTCATCTGGATGAAATCCCCCTCCTCCCCTTCTTCCACCTTTATCCAGAATGGGCGGCACGGTGGCCCAGTGACTAGCACTGTTGCCTCACAGTAAGAAAACCAATGGCGTCGGGTTCTCGCTGGGCCATTTGGTATTTCTGTGCTGAGGATCCCTTGAGCTCAGGGCTCTCTCGCGGGACAGCACACCAAACAACCTATGTATAAATTCATGAGCTAAGTGTGAACTCTTGAAAGGACTAAGCCGAAGGATGAAAATGAATGAATTAAAGAAAAAAAAGATTTAAATAAATTGTAATAAATATAAATATTTTTAATATGTTTAGTTTTTCAAAATACTGCAAATAAACCTTTCTAAATAATTATTTATCCCAATACCTGTATTAAAAATGTTGCATCATAAATGACTTATAATCACTTAACTTCATAAGGTGAATTTAGAGTCCTCCTGTGGTGAAATCGGTAAATTACAGCAAATTTAAATTGTAAAGCATTAAACACAAATAAATACAGGAAAAAAAATATATATATTTATAATATAATATAATTTAGTATAATATAATATAATTTAGTATAATATATAATATAATATAATATAACATATGATATAATATATAATATAATATAATATAATATAATATAATAAAATATAATATAATATATAATATAAGATAATATATAATGTGCAGATGCAATCAGAGCTGCATCCAATGCTTTTTACTGTGCTCACCTAACCCCACCTCTAACCCTACCCGTCACAGTGATGTCACTAGCTCCATTGAGTGCATTGTGTCTGACATTGCATCTCTGAGTGATGCAGTCTCAGCTTGCATCATAAAGGCTGCATCCACTATTATACTATTGGATGGGAGACACTAGGTTAAGTAACATAACATAAGTTCAATGGACTCATACGGTTAATTTAATTCAGCTTAAAAATGTAATTTAAAATTTAATAACCAGGATTTTCTTTTTACAGTGTAGGTTTGAGATGTTGGGCAATTTGGCCTCTGTTTAGTCCAGTTATTCTATTTATTAAACAAACCATTTATTTATTTATTTATTTATTTATTTATTTTTATTTATTTATTTTTATTTATTTATTTTTATTTATTCATTTATTTTTATATATTTATTTTATTTATTTATTTATCTTTATACATTTTTATATATTTTATTTATTTATTTATTTTTATTTATTTGTTACGAATTTTTTTTATTCATTTACTTTTATTATTATTTATTTATTTATTTATTTATTTTAATAAATTTTTTATGTATTTATTTTATTTATGTATTTATTTATTTATATTTATTTATTTATATTTATTTTATTTGTTTTATTTATGTATTTATTTATTTTTATTTATTTTATTTTTATTTATTTATTTTTATGTATTTTTTATGTATTTTATTTATTTATAATTTTTTATGTATTTATTTTATTTATTTATTTTTATTTATGTATTTATTTGTTTATTTATTTATTTATTTATTTATTTTCATCATAGTTTATGCTTATTTCAAAACTGACAAAAAAGCTGAATGTGCATTTTCAGAATTAATTTGTCATTATAACCAGTGTTTTTTTTATGTAATGACCTAAGATTCACACATGCATAGAATCAAAGCTATCATAAAAGCGGCATTTCTGCAAGCACAGCTATTGAAAGATGAGCTCATTTTTGACAAAAGCTGCATGCTTCTAAATGTGTTTGTTGGTATTTATTTTTCAGATCCTTCAGAAGTCAAAAACTTGAAAACAGGCAACAATGAAAGCAATGCCATAGAGGCCACTTGGGAGAATCCTAATGGTTATCATTCAAGTTTCAACGTTTGTATTAAAGAATTGATCAGCAATGAGTCGATCAGCTCTGAGTGTAACTGCAACGAGGGAAGCTGCAACATAACAAACAGCATGTCCATAAGGATGACTGCATTATCATCTGGCACCCAGTATTGTCTGTGTGTGACGGCACTGATAAACAGTGACACACAACCTGGAAAAACGGTTGTAAGTTCTGCATTCACACGTAAGTCTTACCATCTACTTTCACTTTCAGTATTACTTCAATAATTAAAGGCATTTAATTTATCTGCCCCAACATCATTAAGCTGTTACTGCGTATGATATTTTGCCCTTTAAACTAATGCAAAAAAGCTGCTTCTTTAAAATTCTGACATTGGTTTCCTCACAGTTTCACCTTTTACCTTTAAATTGTGAGTCTATATCTCACAAGTGACTTTTTGTCCTGCAAATTGAAGGTTAAATATTTTCCCAGTAAAACAACTATTCTTTCTTTGATTCTTTTGTCTTGTTTCTTTTCCAAATATCTAAAAATTCTCAAATCAAGAAGACAAGCAAAGCATAATGTCTTGTTTTAAGACATATGTCAGAATTAAATGGGGGTTTTCCTTAAAGCAAGCTAAATAATATGCAAATAGGGTGAGCAAAATAATACTGCTTTTCATTTTGAAAAAAGTTTTGCTTACTTCACTGGCAGGCAAAAATAATTTTAAATAATTACAATTGTGATTTTTCTCACTGTTGATTTTATGCTTTAACTAACAGATGAGACTTTATTATAAAGTGACTCGGTAACACTTCAGAATAACTCCATTATAACTAGTTAATAGATCATTAATAAACTGTTAGTTATTGAGTTATAAATGACTTGTTAAATAATAATTAATAGTTTGTAATTATTTATAACTATCAATTGTAACTAGTTAATAGATCATTAATAAACTGTTAGTTATTGAGTTAAACATGACTTGTTAAATAATGGGCAATAGTTTAATTATTTATAACTATGCAATATAACTAGTTATTTTTTCAATAAATAAACTATTAGTTAAGTTATACATGGCTTGTGAAATAATAGTTAATAGTTTAACTATTTATAACTATCCATTATAACTAGTTAATAGATCCTTAATAAACTGTTAGTTATTGAGTTATAAATTACTTGTCAAATAATAGTTAATAGTTTGATACTTATTTATAACTATCCAATATAACTAGTTAATAGATCTTTAATAAACTGTTAGTTAATGGGTTTTAAATGACTTGCTAAATAATAGTTAATAGTTTAATTATTTATAACTGCGCCTTATAGATAGCCAACACATAAGTTACAAGCTGTTAGTTAAAAAGTTATAAATGACTTAACTGTATTTTAATGATTTATAACTATACCTAATAAATTAGTAATGGATCATGAACAAGCTGCTAGTAAATTACTTACTAAAGACGTTTTAAGTATCAGTTAATAGTTTATAAATGTTATTGGGACGTTATTCTAAAGTTGCAATTATTCTTCATTTATTAACTGTTAGTAAATCAGGAATAGTTGCAACTTTAAAATAACGTCCCAATAACATACATAAGTTGTTCATAGGTTGAACAAGATTTTGTTCAATACATCTTGATCCGTGATATAGCAAACACAACGCTATCTCAAGGCAATTCATCACTTTCTGATTTAGTGGCTAATTTGTATGTATTTGTACAATTTAGTATGATTTGCTCATCCTTAATGAATGATTGGTATTATGGGTGGGGTTCGGTGCCATGCCTTTTTTAAAAAAAGCAACGTACCTTTTTCATACCTGTCAACATTGGGCTGTGAAAATCAGGGATTAGCACAGGACATTAGCAGCAGATACATAAGTAAACAGTTCAGCTTATTAACATTAATACAGTCATCCCAAGTCTCCCGAAATTATCATTGGTTTGGGGCATCCGGGACTCAATGCATTTGCGGAAGACTCCCGGATGCCCACAAACCAATGATAGTCTCCCGGAAATTGCGCGTCTCCTGCCCGGTCTTTAAATACGTCGCCCATGCCTCTTCACCACATCCCTCTTAGCTCTTCAGATACGTCACGAGTAACTCACCCCCACCGCTCTTCAGATACTTAATGTCACACGCACAGCACACGCCCCCACCACTCTTCAGATAAGTCGCGCACCATCACCCCCAACCTCCTCTCCCCTTTTACATTTTTTCAGGCACCTATTCTCCCGCAAATCTTCTCTTTCTCGCCCTGAAATCACTTTTCCCACCTGTAATGAAAAAGGAAGGGATACCTGCTGTTTTTATATTTATTTCAAAGTGTTTTCATGCCTAAATAAAGCAAAAGCACAGAACAGCCTCACATTTAAGAGAAAGGGGTGGCCCCTGGTGGTTCGGCGGTATGGGTTGCGTATAGTGAGGTTCGGCTCTTTAACGTTTATAGCCATGCTTCAGAGAAAGACTGAAAATATGGCAGAAATACAGGAAAACGGGATGATAGCGGGATAGAACTGTAAAATATGGGAGAATCCTGGGAAAAACAGGAGGGTTGACAGGTATGACCTTTCTGTATGACACTGAACTTTTATAAATTCGTCCAAATTAGCCACTAAAACAACCAAATGTATGAAAGTTACGTTTCCTCATGAGATCAGACAGGCAAAAAGCATTTCCTATGTTCCGATGATGTTTTTTTAAATTCTCTTTTCTCCTACAGTGCCAAACACCGTGAGCATAACCTCCTTGGTTACCTACAGCACATCCATGTCTGTTAATTGGACAATAGAGGGGAAATATACAAAATTTCATGTGAAAATTGAAACAACAGATTTTCAAAATTCCTTAAGAAGTGATGATACCAAAGACTGTTATTACAATTTCGCAAGTCTGATGGCAGCAGTGAGGTATACGATTACAATTATCACTTTTAACGGAGCCCTGGAAAGTGATCCCGCTAAAGTAATAGATTACACAAGTGAGTGATGATTATTATGTTGCAGTTACTACTTTTGTCCCCCAACACAGGCTTATTGGGAAAATGTGTCCAGGGATACTTTTTGAGAACCGATAAATATGTACTTGCAGGTACATACGGCTGCATTTTGTGTGTAAAATGAATGCTATGGGGCGGTACTTATCTCCGTAAAAACGACTTTTCTGTTGTGACTGGTTTTCAAGAGGGGCATCTTTTGCACGCAGCTCATCCCAGAGCAGCAGTTTGTGTTGTCAAGACAACTACAGAGAACTTTTAAAGAGTTTGGTTTCCGCTACATTCATTCTTCCATGGCAGGACCAAAATGCATCCCTTCACGGCTACATTACCCATTCAAAACATTCAGTCATTGTTGTTGTTTTAAATAGCGGATTATAATCGCACCAAAAGGTATTAAAAGGTAAGTGGAATATAACAGCGCAAATTTTTCTGTAACCGTATAGTGCTGTGCGCTCTCTGTTTAATCCTTTGGCGTTACGTGCTGACTGACTGACTGACTGACAGGTGCGCGATGCGTGAGGACAGCAAACACGCAGAAGCTTTCAGTTAAGATGAACACAGTTTCTATAGTTATACTTTATTTATAGATAAAGGTATATGGCTCTGCATATAATCACTCTATCTTGCTGGAGTTTATAGCCGTTTCGCTTTACTTCAGGACGCATTAATGCCGCTCTGAAGGTCTAATCGCTGTTTTAAGTTATCCAGAGCTGTATGAATGTAAAATTTTTGAATATCACAATAGTATTAAATATTACAATTGTAACAACATAGATAGCAACACTTTTGCACAATCGATACCCAGCTGATTCAGTCGTTTCATAAGAGGACCGCGCCTCTTCTCTTCTCCTGTTTTCCTTGTCAACATAAAGGCAGTGAGATTATTTTCGGCCCCTTGTTCAACTGCAAGACATATTTGACTTGCGGGACGATAACGTATAACCCGTGCCTACAGACACATTTGCCAAAGAAGCAAAATGAAAGAAGAATATGCTGTTTGACGTGTTGATGCCAAAAAAAGCGCTGATGTTGACCTGGATCTGCGTCATAAACGCAACAAATAGGCTTTACCTTTTATTTTACAACTTATAAAGCATGCATGCACATTAATGCAATATCATATTTAAACAACAAAACCGTTTACAAAAAGTCTACATATGCGCGCGCGTTGTTGTCTTTTCATCACGCAGCGCGCACTTGAACCGGGAGGGAGAGGAAACCATCACATAAAATCAAGACATAATCTTTAAAATAATGATTTCTATTAAAAATGTAAAAGGTTTTGTGATTATAATAATAACAGCGGGGCATTAAATAAATGCATATTTTCCGTGGAGCGAGCGATTTGAGGAAGTCAGCTATTTTGTTTTTTGAAAATATGATTGGAAAAAAATCAGCCTATGCTGGTTATTAAAAAGAATCAGTCAGTATTTTCGTTTTGTAATATAAATTAATTATTGAAGTGAAAATAATTTAGGGCAGTCCTATTTATTTTATTCATTTTATTTAGTTTATTCTGTTCTTCTGTGCTAAACACTGCAGGTGCGTGAAAATGCTCTGTTGTATTGTTCTATTATTAATATGCTAGCATATAAAAATAAATCAGTATTTTAAAATGCAATATTTAATGTGTCAGACACAAAATAGACACGTCTATTTGTTTAATATAAAATTAATATTAATCTGACCAGTTAACCGTTAATAACCGATTAATGAGCGGCGGTTGTCGGTTAGCAAAATTAACCGAAATGACCATCCCTACTTTATTCCTATGATTACAGACATGTGCAGGGACCACCAACATTAATTACAGCACGCTCGACCACACAGAACCTAAAAGCTGCACTTTCAAATTTGGGTTTATAAAAAAAATTCAAAAAGTGCCTCTTTTATTAGGTGTTTATTATAACACAGACGACATATACAGTTATTTTAAACTCTTTCAATAGTGTTTTATGAAAATTCAAAGGGTTTTCTTTAAAATTATACCAAATTTTTCATTTACACCTCTGCATGTGTATTTGGGAAGCTTTTAAATTTAGGTAGGCAAAATCCAGGCGGAAAGTGGTTAATATAATCAACTACTTTGACCACAAAAAGGCTTTACAAACTATTCGCAGCACTTAAACTATTCCCCTCTGAAGAATAAACTCAAAAAAAGAGAACAGAAACTCAATATGAGAATAATTTTACGAAGCGACGCATGTCGTGTCTGCGCAGCCGTTTGCATTAATGATGCGCTTGATGCATCACTGCGACACATAACACAGCCCTCCGCTATCTGTGGACACTTCTAAAACAGCAGCACAAAGAGAAGAAATCAGTGCGTTGAAGATTTGTCCAATGTATTATTGAGCCTTTCTAATTTAAACAGTCAGGTAGGGCTACTTTGAGTGTGAAGAGCAGGTAATAACCCTCTCTACTCCAGTGTTGCGAATGCATTTTGCTGATCTAACAGACACAGCGCAACTCCTTGTTGCAGGTCAAAATGAACCTATTTAATGTTAAACTAAATGCATTTCTCCACGGATTATTGAAAACTAACAGGAGCAAATAGTCTTGGAGAAAGTTTTTCGAGTTGTCATGAACGCGACACAGTTTGAACTGTAATAAACGGAGAATGATCGACAGGCGCAGCTGAGGGAAGCGCTAAACTGAACATGAATTTAATCAATTGAATATTCATCTGTGCTTCACATTAAACTAAAGAAGGGCTTCATGCGTACATGACAACTTTCTAGTGCCTCATATTATGCTACGTTCACAGCTTTTGTTGGCTTATAAATTACACTGAAGATATTGAATGCGTAAGATCGGATTTGGATTGGTTCCAGCTGACCGATACCTGATCCAGCAAAAATGTGCCTGAATGCTTTAGACTCTTTCAGGCCTTTAAAACAAATGCGAATGATAAACTTTCATTGTATTTCAGTGAATTCATTCAAGTCGTTCTATTGCAAAAACTGTAAGAAGATGTAGTACAGGGTACATATTTCCCGGGTTCTCAAAAATGTAGCCCTGGGCACATAATGCAATGAGCCTGGGTTGTTTTTCTGACCATTTCACTATTTCTGTTTTGATCAGCCGAATAACATGTCTAAAAAAACATTTATTCACAGGACCGACTTCAGCACGCTCACCAAAGGCCACTGTTAACAAAATGAACATAACTGTGAGCTGGGAAGCTCCAGCTGACTCTGTAGGGGCTAGGATTAATTATACAGTCAAGTATCATACGCCTTTTTGGAATGAAGATTATACATTAAATACCAGTGACACACATCTTACCTTTCCTAATTTAAGAAGTGGAACAACATATGACTTTAATATCACAGTTGTGGCGGGTAATTTGACGAGTAATCCAGTCAGCACTTCTGCACAAACAGGTAAAGAAACTGCGTTTGATGTGTTCTGAAGCTACATTTGGATTTATTGTGTTATGATTGCTACTCGACACTCTTAAGATTTTTTTGTTGAGACACTGTGAATATGTCAGCCAATTGTTCGCACTTTTATTGATGTTTAAATTGTTTGATTTTTCAGAGCCTGTGAAGAAGATGCTGAGCTTGGTAATGCTGTGTTCCTCTGCAAATAAACTTGAGTGTGCAACGAACACAACTCAGGAAGAGCTGTACAGTAAGGTGAGGAATATTTCAATGACTACAGCCTGTTCAAAACAACTTCATATTAGGGATATAACCATTCACCTCACGATGCCAATCTCACGATTTAGTCACGATTTTTTAACAAAATTATTTTGAGACAAATAATTGCCTTGAATTTTATCTCAAACGCTGCACCATTTATTTACAAGTAAACTCATTTTTGCAATAACTAAACTGGGATTTTAAAACAAAATCCAAAAAATGAAAGTGAATAATACAAACTAAAGAAGACTCTTTAATAGTGCTGACTGATGTCGACCACTTTGCCATCATACGATGTCTAATGTGAAACATCCCGATGGACGATGGCACCGTCATTGTTGTAATTTAGGAATAATTAATTAATCCATAATTAATTTACTATTCGTAGCCTACCGTTTAAACTACCTGACCCGCATGCTCTTTGTTTTACTTATAACTATAGGGCCAAACAGAATCTGCTGACATTTTTCTGTGGAAGATTTTGTAATAAATCTGCGGATTTATGCAGAATGATTTTGGGAGTATCATTACTACAAACTTAATATATTAAATAAAAAATAATACATTGATTTATTGTTTACAATACATATCCATTTCGGTCAACTTATTTGGTAAACAAAACAAGTCTCTAATATAATATAGCCATTAAAAGACTGAAAATATTACCTTACAAACTGGATTGTAAATAAATTGAATGAACGATCTATATAGTGTTTTCTATATATCATGCTAACATGTGTTTTGTTTGAGTAATCACATTTGCATATACATAAAATATTCAGCTGTACACTTTTATAACTTTAAAGCTTGACGACAATGAACATTAGCATTAAAGTTATTAGAATCATGATTTTTATTACCAAAACTTATTTTAAAATGTAGTAATTATCCTTTTTATCCCAAATTCTCCATCTAAAAACAACAATAAGCACACAAATGAAATCTCTTTTACTGTCTTTCAGTTGTACAATCTAACTGCGGGAAAACTGGACGGCGTTTACTGGAAGCTGAAATGGGTTGACAGAAAGAATCATTAGCTCAGTTCTCAAAGCTGAAACTAGGTCTGAAAAACACCCTATTCATCCTGTCACATTTGTTTTCATTAACACTTGTAATATGGATAATTCACCTAAAAAAAATAATAATAATGGAATATATGAAGAGTTCAGATGCAAAAACCCGTGCCGTCTGAAATTTCCATATAAAATATAAACATTCCATATAAACATTTTTCTCAACCTTATTTGTTTATGTTGGGATATTTCACTTTAAAGACCAGGAAAAGGACTTATTCTTTGCCATAAAAGTGATATTACAGAACATGCACACAGGAGCACGATAAAAATTTTCATTTTAGAGGAAAATTTCTGACGGCATTTAGAGGTTTTTGCATCTAAACTCTTCATAAATAGTCCTATAATGCAGCATACCTTACTTTATTCCTGACCACTAAAGGAGATTTTTATTTATGTTTGTCTTGCACGTGTTTATCAAGACTGTAAACAAGTTATGTTCATTATCAGTTCTTTGTTTTGCTGTGTTTACAGTTGAGTTGTGTTTTGCAGTAAACGCTAGATGGGTTATTAAAGATGCAGTAGGTGGTGGTCTTCAGAAACTTGTGTTGTTGTGCTGGCTGAAAGTCTCTTCACAGTCCACTAGTAATGATTAAAGTAAATGATCTAAGTGTGGTTATATGTATTTTTATATTCTGGATGAGGCAGAAGACTAAAAAATGTTCATCCAATTAAATAGAGTTGGGCCGATAATTGTGATAAGTGGCCCAAACTGTCTGTCAGCGAATGTAGATTTGTAGAAATCAGAAGAGACAATCACAGTGCTGAAAACAAATGCTGAATCAAAACTTTGTTCATTCCTGAATCAAAATTGGAGTGAGTTTTGACCGCTGGAGGAAGGACGACTCCATGGCTGAAGGATTTCTTTTAGACAGGTCATCTTCTGTTTTAAAACTATTTTAGTCACACAGAGCTGATGTAGATTGTGTTGTTATGAATGGGTTATATGCACAGAAGTGTTGTTCAGCCACTGAAATGTCTTGGTGAAAGATTGATGTGACTATTTTCAGTTTTATAAGGTCCTTTTATAGCCCATTTCCACTGAGTGTTACGGTAGGGTACTGTTCGGTTTGCTTTTATGGCCGTTTTCTCTATCAAAGGGTACCTAAAAGTGAACCGTACCATACCACTTTTTGGTCACCCTTTGCAAAGGGTACCAACAAGCCCAAAGAGTACCATAAGGCGGAGCTAGATGCGCAGATGAATGCTATTGGTTATCAGAGATACGTCACTCGCAAAAGCAAGAGAATAAAAACAAAGGAAGCGCCATTTTTAAAAACACAGCAGAGACATTACACCGTAATACTATATATAGTATATACATATAATAACAAGCTATGGTCGACCTGAGCTCAAACAAACCTTGTTGTCAAGAGTAAGAACAACAAAATCTGCCGTGTCCTGTTGTTGTTTTAGATGGCCGTCTAGTCCGAGCAGATTCATTTTCTCTAGATAGCTTATCTATATTTAAAATAACAAACATTTTTGAGCTCATATTAATAACGTGCATGTGATTATTGAAGAGCTCTGATATCCGATCCTTTCAGAAGGAGACAGACGTGAGAGTGAAGCACGAAAAAACAAAGGAGAAGCCAGAAATAACAGCAGCAAATAATGCTTCTGCAATCTAAAACATGATCAAACTGCCTTGTGTAACTATTATAATCACCTTTTGGACTATTATGAACTCGAGAATGACGGAATTACTCTCTAACAGAGGTTACATGTGCTGCTGAAGATTCACAGATGAGAGGTTTGCTCAGTCTGTGAGCTATACTGTATGTTGCGTGTTGTTTTTGAACCCAAATAAGGACTAAATGTCTGCTGTGTAGTTTTTCTGTAATTGGTAACATATCAGAGACTGAATGGGTCTGTGTGTGTTCATAAAGGTTGCATTTATTTATTTATTTTATATAATTGCAGACGTTACAGTAGGCTATTTTGCATCATTGATCTTCATACAGCTTTACTGTAGACATTTCCTCGATTAAAAATGACGTCGTCTGAAACTTTGTCGTACACCAAGCCCACCAAAAGATACCCTTTTGGCAGAGGAAATGCAAGCTTGATAAAGGTGACCCATACCGACCCGTACTGTACCTCTCAGTGGAAACGGGCCATTTCAGCATCGATAATGTAGATTTATTTTTAGTTTAACAACAAAACATCAGTAAATAGCTCTATTCTGCCTAGCCTCCTTTACTGAGCTGAAGATGGTTTTATATTCACAGTGGGTCATTTCTGAACAATGACAGCCTGTGATGTGCTCCCTGTAGTGTTCACCGCTACTCTCAATATTGAAATAGCATGTCAGTATGGCTCAGTAATGAGTGTAATTCCTGCACGCCGCTGGCCATACAGTAAGCATACAGTAGTCGCTTTAGGACGAAGTGTGTGAGAGAGTGAGACCAGTGATCCTTGCAAGTTCTGCTACACAACTGAAACATGCTTGATATAATACAGTTTTCATTGGGAATTGTAGTATTATAAAGCACTGTAAAGTTTTCTAACTGGCGGATGACATGATCTAGTAAGTTGTCTACTGTCGTCTTTACGGTGCGCGTTCATGATTTTAGGAGGCGTGGCTTTGGTAGACAGGGGAAGGACTGTGTTTTCAAATCTAGTATGTTAATGGTTTGTATTTTGGCTGATCACCTACTGCACCTTTCAGGAACTCTTCTTCATTTACAGTGTTTTGGCAAGGCAAAATTGCCAGCAAGTTACTACATATAAATATAAATATATAAATAATAACAATTATAACAGAGGCCGGCACTAAACTTTTAAAAAGATGCAGAAGTGACACATAATGGGTTTTATTAAAGCATCTGTTTGTCATAATTCAAGTTACTTTTAGAGGTGTCTCTTTTAATAGCAAAATTCTTAGACAAAGACTACATTACCCATGATGCAATGCAGTAGACTCAACCAATCAGAGATCTGCAGTGCCAAAAAATGTCCTTAGCTGGACTCAATCAAATATGTAGTGTCTAGAGATGACCAAAAGCAGCTTCTGCCATTTTAAATTGGATTAATTTATCATTAGCTCTGCAGCATGGGATTGTAAGCAAGTAGGTAAGCAATGTGTATTTATATAGCACATTTATCATGTATGGCCATACACCCAAAGCACTTCACAATCATGAGGGGGGGAGGGGGGGTGTGCAGCTCCACTTGGATGATGCAACAGCAGCCACAGGACAACTGCGCCAGTGCTTCCACCAGCTATAGGGGGAGTGGAGAGACAGAGATCCAATTCAATGCATAAGGATGATTGGGAGGCCATGATGGGTAAACCCAATAGAGGAAATTTGGCCAGGGGTTGCACTCCTACTCTTTACCAGAAGTGCCATAGGATTATTAATGAGAACAGAGAGTCAACACCTCGCATTAACATCTCATTTGAAAGACGGCGCTCACTGACCCTGCTGGCTTCACTAACACCACTGCCAACAGCAACCTAGTTTTCCCATGTGGTCTCCTTTTCAGGTACTGACCAAGCTTAGCCCTGCTTAGCTATAGTGATTAACCACTCTTGGGCATATATGAACAGGTGTTTCAGTCTAATGTTAATGTATAATTTCTATGTGAATTAATGTTTTGAGTTTTTACTGCAAATGTCACAACTATAACGCTGGAATTACTCGTATATGTATGTATGTATGTATGTATATACATTTATATACATATATACACACACACACACAGTTGAAGTCAAATTATTCGCCCCCCTGTTTATTTTGTTCCCCAATTTCTTTTTAACAGAGAGCAGATGTTTTCAACACATTTCTAATCATAATAGTTTTAATAACTGATTTATTTTATCTTTGTCTTGATGACTGTAAATAATGTTTGACTAGATATTCTTTAAGACACTTCTATACAGCTTAGAGTGGCATTTAAAGGCTTAACTAGGTTAATTAGGTTAACTAGGCAGGTTAGGGTAATTAGGCAAGTTATTGTATAACGATAGTTTCTTCTGTAGAAAAAAATAAATAGCTTAAAGGGGCTAATAATATTGACTTTAAAATTGTGTTAAATATTAAAAACTGCCTTTATTCAAGCTAAAATAAAACAAATAAGACTTTCTCCAGAAGAAAAAAATATTATAGGAAATACTGTGAAAATATTTAAAATATAGAAAATAAATAAAAAGGGGTTAATAATTAAGCCATGTACAGAGGACAGAACAAAAGCTAAATGAATACATTTGAATGGTTATCTATTATCTTAATTATTAATTATTAGCATGAAGGACAAACAAAAATGTAAAATAAATACATTTATATAAATAAAATGATAAAATTCTTATTTAAAAATGCAAAAAGCTAAAAAAAAAACTAATAAAACTAATTAACTATTTTAAATATATATTAATATATATAATATAATAAATTATTATAACTAATTAAAACTATTAATTAAAACTATAAACATTTTATACAGTTCACAGCAAATAATATAAAACTATGTGGAAATTAATATATATATATATAATTCTCACTTCAACTGTATGTTCTTCACATCAAGGTTTATAATGTTGCAAGCTCTATTTAAATAGTCCTATGACAAACATTTATAAGAAACAAACCAATATTGTAGCTAATATTGTGTGACTTAGTTTGCAGTGAAAGACATGTTTTTTTGTGTGATTTCTGATTTAGATTTCTCTCATCTACATTTATGTATTTAATAAGGAAAACAGACTTAAATCTTGCTTTTGTTATTGCTGAAGATGTGTAAATGTTTTCTGTGAAGGTTGTGTTTCGGGTTATGCATGTACAGTTTGTAGAGTATGAATATCATGTCTATAAAGGTGTGGGGAGATTAACTGCGAGATGTTTTTGAGTAGTAGTGGGATCTGATTCTCACTGTTTGTCTGTCTGTATACCTGTATTGCTTTTTTATCCTCTTGTTAAGTCGTGACGTATGGAGTACTGTTTCCGGGTTGAAGCCGCTGCTCATTTAAATTGAGAAAACATTCGCCAGTTTTTAGACCTATCACATCTTAAAGTGAATTTTATATAAGAGCATGGTGTACACGAGAGTCTTTGGACATGCTGCATCACCGAAATCAATATTTCATCAAC